AAAATACAAATAAAGTTAAGATATGTGTATTAAGTCTGGATTTATTTGGTGGTGTACCAGCATTCACATCTTTCATAAATCTTTATAAATTATAGAGTCATTTATTATTGTGTTGTCTGACAACTTAAAAAAATTCACATCAGAATACTTTTCCTAGACAGAAAGATTATGTGAAACATAGTTGTCCAACATTGATGCTAGAAATAGTCACAAAAGGTAATGTTCATAATGTATTTGAACTTTCAGGCCATTTTGATGGAAAGGCCATGCCGTCGACTGGCATCCTGCCTTTCTTACAGTCTTTTATGTGTACATTCAACAACACATGCCACGATACAGTTAATGCTGACGAGCGACCCGGCATGGCAGGATCATTTACTCAAACAGGGTACGTAGTCTTAACTGAATGCTTGGATGTTTTAAACCCAGCAGGGATCTAAAATATGAAAAGTGAAAGCTATCTAGCAAACTTCCTGAAGGACATTGATCCAAATATGTACCTGCTTGTGCCATAGATAAATTGCAGAGAAGCACTTGTGATCTTGTTCATAAATGCAATCTAAAACCACTAAATTAGAGTTTTGTATTTTTTTCAGGTCCACTAAATTTCTATGGTCAAATTAAGCAATTGATAAAAACTTAATTTTTGAAACTTTCCATGTTAGGTGTATGAACTGTTAGCTTACATGGTTTGAGAGTGTTGGATATAAGATGATATATGTTATGTATAGCTGATAAAAAACCCCCCCTAGATATACTAGATTATACAGTTATATATGCTGCAGACATAAACTGTCTTGCAATTAATTAGTATTGTCAAATAATAATTTGATATGATCGTTTTGTTCTAAAGTCATCAAATTTTGAAGGAAAATATAGTTTTGAATATTATTTATGAAGTGTGTTAGAAAATGAAATTTGTATAATGTTGATATTATAGGTTAGCGGAAGCGGTTCAAGCTTTGGAGGAGATATTGAGTAGCAACGTTGATGCTGAAATAATTGCTGATACTATTACTGATCTAAATTTACTGGCAGACCTATATCAGAGAATTGTTGATGGTACTGCTGTTGGTATGTAGTGTAAATTATCATTTATTTCATTGTTTAAACTGCCTTTTTTAATCACATCAGTATGGTTGTATGTATTGAATATTGCATTGCAATACCAATTGTAGAATAGCAATACCAACTGTTATATAGCATTGCAATACCAACTATAAAATTGCATTGCAATACCAACTGTAAAATAACATTGCATTAACAACCGTAAAATAACATTGCAATAACAACTGTAAAAAAAATATATATATATATATATATATAACATTGCAATACCAACTGTAAAAAAATAGCATTGCAATACCAACTGTAATATGGCAATGCAGTATGAAATATAGAATATTTATATGTATTGCAATGCTGTATTGCAATATGGTATTTCAATAAGTATTGAAATATGGAAATGCAAAACAATAAAGTCTTCACATGAACATTGCAGTTTCCTTTACAATGTATTGAAGTTTAATTTAATAAAAACAAAACTTATTTAGATTTCATTGCATCCCTAAATTAATGTTAGAAACTTAGATCACCTCTTTCATTTAGTTGAATTCTATGGTCTTTTGTTTTTGTTTAATGGGAACATGATTTGTTTTAATTATCAGAATGATAATTATTTGGAACTTTTTTTGCTGCAGGAAATTTCACCCTCGGCAACTCGGTGATTAATCCCGCTAGAATTCGACAACAGATTATAGATCAGAATTTGAATCTGTCGTCAGACGTTATTGACTGGCTTCTAAATGCTACACTCAACCGACAGGTAAATTCAGCTGATTCGATTTGTTAAATATTTTTTTTTGGTTTAAAGAAAAAGTTAAAATCAAAACAAAGTGGGGCCCCAACAATTTTTAAGGGTTCCAGCCTTTAAATTTTTTGTATTTTTATCAGACTTAAATTTTTTTGACTCTTTTTACCAAAAATTTTTAAAAACCTTGGGAATTTTAAGATAAAGCCTTCCAAATTTTTATGGGGAGGGGAAGAGCAATAGAGAATTCCATTATGACAAGGGGGCGGGTAAATTACTTCGCCCTCCACCCCCCCCCCCCTTAACTGTTATTGGGGGCAACTTAAATTTTGTAAAATTTTTTTAATTTAATTTTTTGTGTGTACTTAGAAATTTTTACATGGGCCCGGCCCAACCCGTTTAATAAAAAACCAAAACTTTTTTCAAAAAATAAGAAATTTTGAGTATAAGTTCAAAATCGCAAGAAATTTGGGCCTTTAACTTTAACTTGCTTACTTTCTATACAAAATAGAAAAGCCTGTTTAAAAAAGGATTTTAAACCCAATATTACAATTTAAAAAAACAATATTTTTAAAAAATTTTTGACTGCGGATACAAAGGGTTTCTGGCAAGCAAAATTAAATTGGGCCCCTTTGTCATTTAAAAGGGAAAAAGAAATTTCCCCCAAATTTTTTTCTTTCATTTGGTACAAAAACTTACTCATTTCAAAAAATTTTTTTTTTAAAATAAAAAGCTGGCACCTTAAGAAACCTGGCCTTTGGGGGTGATAAAAACCCGAGGGTTGGGCTTAAAAATTTAGGAATTTTTATTGGTCAATGTTTCTTTTTGGGGGCAATTTTTTGACAAACAAACACCTGAGGGTCTTGAGTTTTAACTGGGGATAAATTTAAACCCTTTGGGCCCAAGTCTATGGGTTAAATTGGGTTTGAGTCAAAAACAAGTCCCCGAAACAAGATACTCTGATAAAAGACAAAAAAGAACTTATAAACAAATCAATGACATGTGGATATTAAAAAATTTCAGATATTTGTCGACCAACTGAACGAAACGTCACTGATCAACATTGTCGCCTCATTGGTACCACCAGTCTTCGTGTCGGAGAATGATACCATTGCTTTCATACGTCAAGAAGTTTGTAACGAGACCAGGCTGGACGAGATATTTTATTTTCCTAACCAGTCAATGTCCCACAGAGTCCATGACGAGCTTTGCAGCCTTTCAACTGATCAGTTTTTCTTACTTGTAGACGATTTTGTTGAAGATTTTGACCTAGTCGCATTTGAGGAGGAGGTATGTATCTGTCTTTATTTTGAAGTAATTTTTTTTTTAAGTAAAGATGATGTAACTATTTTATTGAAAGACTTTGCTTTATAAGGATTGTGGTCTACCATTGGTTGAAATGGAATCACCTATAAATTATTTTGATTACAACTTTTCAGGTCCAACAGTTTGTTATGCAGAACATGAACTCACAGAGGTTGCTGTTAACTATAATTGAACAAGGAGACTTGTTACGGAGAGTAAGTTTTTATGTTCTTACATGGGGTGCTTACAGCCCTTTAGATATATTATGGTGAAATGTTTTACTCATAAAGAGATTGGGCATTTTAAACCAAAAAAAAATATTGAAAAACATGGGGAATAATGAAAATATGTGCAGGTAGATATGGAATTTCAAATTAGGAATGGTTTCAAAACTTTAAACTGTTAACATGTTAATCATGGTTGCACAATAGTTAATGAATGAAAGAAATTTATTTTTGTTTTGTATCTGTATTATTTTCTCATTTTCTTCTTCAAAGTTTGAATTATAACCCTTGTGTAAGATGACAGTATAATTACATATAACCATCACAACTGTTACCTATTTCACTTTGAATCATGATTTGCAGAAAAAAAAAATTACTGGATCCTATTTTTTTAATGAGGAGTACATTTTTATTTTTCAAAACATTTATTTCAAAGATTTTATACTTTCTTTAAACACAGCTTCAAAGCAACACATCTTGGCAGAAACCGTTCCGTGACTTAATGTCTGCTGCACAGAGTCTTCAGTCAGAAGGTAACATGCCCGATGTTTCCACAGCCTCATTCACGAATATTATCGGTCAATTTGTTTGTGGCAGAACTGGTGCCCTGCTTTCCATCGATGAAGACCAGGCAGAGTCGTTGACTGAAAATGACCGGCAGCCGATGGATAAAGATTTGGCATCGCAGAATCAGGGTACAACACAGGCATCAAAGAGCCAAACTACAAACACCCAGACTACAAACAATCAGACCGGTCAACCTACATCAACTACTGAAAATCCGATATATGAACGATTTAATGATAGAAAGTGTGTTCGGGAAACAAGTGAGTTTTAATCTTTAAACCTTATCTTTTGTAATGTTTATTTATTAAAATAATATAATATTTACAAAATGATTTTTTTTACAGAACTTTATGATATAATTTGTTTTATTGGCGTCAGCAATGCTTAAAGGATTTAATTAAAATGGTCTTTATTTGTATGGTAGGAGTTTTTTTTTTTACAATTCGTTGCCTTAGTGCAATAACGGATTGACTACTATTAATTTATATAAGGAGTTAACCAGTTACTGCAGTAAGGTGATGAATAGTGGTAATAACTGGAAAGGAAATGTTTCCAAAATATGACCTAAATTGTTAAAGGAAGGGGTTGTATAATTCCTATCTTTAATTAGAGGCCCGATAGATTCTTAAATTTGGTCAAATGAATGGGTTGGTATACCCAATACAGATATAAGGGAGACATTATTTGTTCTATTTCACGGCCCAGGAAAGCTTTTTTTTCCTTTCTTAACCAATTCGAAAAAAGGGTTTCTAGGGCGCCAATTAAACCATTGTGAGAGGTGGTTTTTATCCCTCAGAATCCTGCACGGAGGAAAATCTTAATAATGTAAGTTGTCAAGAAAAAAATTTTTCTAATGAAAATTGAACAGAGAAATCATCAAGGATGGGGTTTAATGGGGAAAATCTTTAAAAATTAAGTTGTAAAAAAGGAATCAGAAATTGTTTTGAGGAAACATTGATAAGTAATTTGAATGAAAAAATCTTTAATGAATTTTAAAAAGGGGAAAATCGTAATAATGTAAGTGGTAATGGAGGAAATCATTAATAATGTAAGTTGTAATGAAATAATAATAAAAGTAGTGGAATAGATGAAATTTGCGCTGAAATTTATAAATGTTCATATAATAAGATTGCATTAGTATTACACTCACTTTTTAACAGACTGTTCAATAAAGGGGAGTACCCAGAAATATGGGGCAAGGGAATTATTGTACCAATTTTTAAAGGAGGGAACATAGATGATCCAAACCAAATATAGGGGTATATGTCTTAAAACATACTAGGTAAATATATTCGCAAGTAATTATTAAGTAGAGTCACAAAATGGTCGCAATTAAATGAAAAAATTAAATGATCATCAATTTGGCTTCCAAAAGGGTAGAACAACTACGGATTGTATCTTTTATTACACTCAGTCATCGCAAAATCATTCAGTTGTGGCAAAAAAACTTTACACAGCTTTTGTAGATTATGAAAAAATGTTTCGAGCATAAATAGATAGAACGTTTCTATGGCATAAACTTATTTCTGAAAATGTCAGTTCAAAAATTGTTAAAGCTATGCCAATCTATGTATAGTGTAGTTAAACATTATTCGATATAAAAACCAATACTCAGACTTTTCGAATCTCATATTGGGGGTCAAACAAGGAGACCCAAGTTCTAGCCTAATGTTTTTATACTTTATAAATGATATCGTCGAAAATTTAAACACAGACATTGAAGGAATATTTACTCTAGACGAGCTAAAACTGTTCATTTTACTATTTGCCGATGATTCGGTACTTTTTTGCAAACACTCAAAATGCACTTCAAGATTTACTAAAACAAACTAGAAGCTTATTGTGATACTTGGGCCTAAAAATAAACACCGACAAAACAAAATATAATGATTTTCGAAAGGGGCCGTCATACACAACATAATTTTATTTTATGTGAACAGCAATTAGAGGTTGTTAAATCCTTCAAATACTTAGGAACACACCTATTTAAAAAATGGCTCTTGGTACAGAACGCAAAGCAGGATAGCACAGTACGCATCATATGCTTTACACCAAACTTGTTCATTATTTTCAACCAAATAGAATTAACCAATAAAGATAAATGTAATCTGTTCGATAGCCTAGTTGGATCAGTCCTGAAATTATAATGCACCAATATGGGGAAATCACGAATCAAAGCTTTTGAGTTGATACAGTTTGTAAATTTTTACGTAAGGTGCTTGGTGTAAAAAAATCTACAAATCTAGAAGGGCTATATGGTGAGGTTGGAAGAGTACCTATGAAAATATATAGAAAACTATTGATGATTAAATACTGGATTAAAATATTGACATCTACCAATGTATTAATAAGAAAGGTTTATTTTATGTTGTCAAATGATGCAAATCAAAATATACATATAACAACATGAATTGGGCTTATCAGATAAAACATATTCTAGAGGAAGTAGGATAGCTGATATATGGATTAATCAAACTAATATAGTCATCCCTTATTATTTCATCAAACAGAGAATCCTTGATATTTATAAACAATCTTGGTACACTAATATCAACAACATCTAACAGATTATCTTCATACTGTCTATTTAAACATACTTTTAATTTTGAAAAATATCTAGAATGTATAAATGAAAGAAAATATCAAATAGCATTATCTAAATTTAGATTGTCTTCTCATCAACTAGCTATCGAAACTGGAAGATACACAAATGTCGATCGACGACTTCGAATTTGCCAAGAATGTAATATGCGCATGATTGAAAATGAGTATCATTTTTAGCTCGACTTTTTTTTTTTTTGAAAAAAAAAGTAGAGGTATTGTTATAGTCAGGTCGGCGTTGCCGTTGCCGTTGCCGTCCGAAAACTTGTACCTGGATCATAACTTTTTTATTTCTTGGTGTATTGTCTTCATACTTGGCCACAACAACCCTTGGGACAAGACCTTTCAGTAGACCACACTAACCTTGACCTTCATCCATAAATGACCTTGACCTTCAAGGTTAAAAGTCCAATTTTTGCTTGTTCATGCTGTTATTGGCTGTTACTTTGTTATTTCTGAATGAATTGTCTTCAAACTTGAACATAATAATCTTCAAGGATATCCCTTAAAAATAACCAGTCAGACCTTGACCTTAACTCATCAATGACCTTGACTTTGAAGGTCAGATTATTGAAATTTTCATTTTTTTGGCTATAATTGGCTGTAACTTTGTTATTTTTAAATGGATTGTTTTCAAACTTGAACATAATAATCTTCAAAGATAACTGTTAAAAATATACCGAAAGACCTTGACCTTCACTCATTAATGACATTGTCTTTGAAGGTCAAATTATTGAAATTTTTAACAGAAGAACATGATCAAACAATTCAAAAAGGATAAGTATATTGATAACATGTACATTCAGTCAATTTTCAAAAAACAATACAAATTTTCAACTGTGACTAGATCAGTAAATAAAAAATAACTATAAAAATTGCGTTTCTTTGATCATTATATAGTATGATAGTATAAAAATACTAAAGAAATCGCCAAAGTGTATTTAAACATTGTTATTGTATTTCGTAGTTGAAAGGCAGAATAATATGAATTTAGCAACGTTGGTAATACTTTTTGAGGATTCGCATGATAGAAGGGTTATGAACTTTTGGATTGATTGGCCATCTACAATAATATGGTTTAAAATATTTGTTCCATTAATAAACAATTGCAATGTAAACTGGAAAAGGCATCACTTCATTCTTTTTTTTCCCGCTATTTTTATCCGTATTGTTTTAAACTTTTACATTTTGGATATATATATATATATATAATCAAATATATATATATATAAATATCTATATGTATATAATATATATATATATATTATATATATTTTTTTTTGAATATATATATGCATATATAATATATATATATATAGTATATATATATATATATATATATATGTATCAAATCAATATATATATATACATGTGTATATATACAAATATATATATATAATAATATATATATATATATAATATATATATATATATAATATATCAAATATATATATATCAAATATAACATATATATATACATGTATATATATATGTATGTATATATATATTTGATATATATATATATATTTTTTATATTTTTTTTGAATATATATATGCATATATATATTATAGATGTACATGTATATATATATATATATTTTTTTTTTGAATAATATATATATATAATATATATATATATATATATTATATATATATATATAGAATGTATATATATATATATATTTTTTTTTTTGAATATATATATATATATATATAATATATATATATATATATATATATATATATAGACATGTATATATATATATATTTTTTTTTTTTTTTTTTTGAATATATATATGCATATATATATAGATATATATAATATATAGATAATATATATATATATATATAGATATATATATATATACATGCATATATATATAATGCATGTATATATATATATACACACACATATAATATATATATATAAAATTGCGTCATTTTTTTCTATTTTTAGAAATTGCATCATTGTTTCTATTTTTAGAAACTGCGTCATTTTTTTCTATTTTTAGAAATTGCGTCATTTTTTTCTATTTTTTAGAAATTGCGTCATTTTTTTTTCTATTTTTAGAAATTGCGTCATTTTTTCTATTTTTAGAAATTGCTTTATTTTTTTTTCTATTTTTTAAGAAATTGCGTCATTTTTTCTACTTTAAGAAATTGTGCCATTTTTTTTCTATTTTAAGAAATTGCGTCATTTTTTTTCTATTTTTAGAAATTGCGTCATTTTTTTCTATTTTTAGAAATTGCCGTCATTTTTTTTCTATTTTTTAAAATTGCGTCATTGTTTGCTATTTTTAGAAAATTGCGTCATTTTTTCTATTTTTAGAAAATTGCGTCATTTTTTCTATTTTTAGAAATTGTGTCATTTTTTTTCTATTTTTAGAAATTGCGTCATTGTTGCTATTTTAGAAATGCGTCATTTTTTTCTATTTTTAGAAATTGCGTCATGTTGCTATTTTAAGAAATTGCGTACTGTTGCTATTTTTAGAAATATGCTTAATGTTTCTATTCATATATATTCAAAATATATAAACAAAACTAATGTGACAAGACAGACCAACTAAATTTATAAAAAGGAAACGTCAATATATGTTCAAACCTTTCTATGTTTGCGTTTAGAAAAAGTAAAAAGGCGAGCGTTGCCCCCGCCCGGCGGTGGCTCTTGTTTATTAGTATGCCCGAAATATAGTGAACTAAGAACCAAATATTTTAAACCATATTATTGTAGATGGCCATCAATCCAAAAGTTCATAACCCTTCTATCATGCGAATCCTCAAAAAGTATTACCAACGTTGCTAAATTCATATATTCTGCCTTTCAACTACGAAATACCAATAACAATGTTTAAATACACTGGCGATTTCTTTAGTATTTTATAACTATCATACTATATAATGATCAAAGAAACGCAATTTTATAGTTATTTTTATTTACTGATCTAGTCACAGTTGAAAATTTGTATTGTTTTTTGAAAATTGACTGAATGTAACATGTTATCAATATACTTATCCTTTTTGAATTGTTTGATCATGTTCTTCTGTTAAAAATTTCATGTCTGTACTTCTTGCATTGTAAATGGCTATGTATGTATGTCAACACATATTATGCTAATAAACTATATGTTATGTTATGTTATGTAATGGAGGAAATTATTAATAATGTAAGTTGTAACGAAGGAAATCATTAATACTGTAAGTTGTAACAAAGGAAATTATTAATAATGTAAGTTGTAATGAAGGAAATCATTAATAATGTAAGTTGTAACGGAGGATATCATTTATTATGTAACAGAGGAAACAATTGATAATGTAAGTTGTAACAGAGGATAAGTTGTAATGGAGGGAATCATTAATAATGTAAGTTGTAATGGAGGATATCATTTATTATGTAACAGAGGAAACAATTGATAATGTAAGTTGTAACAGAGGATAAGTTGTAATGGAGGGAATCATTAATAATGTAAGTTGTAATGGAGAAAATCATTAATAATGTAAGTTGTAACAGAGGAAATCATTAATCATGTAAGTTGTAATGGAGGAAATCATTAATAATGTAAGTTGTAATGGAGGAAATCATTAATAATGTAAATTAAACTACAAACATAACCAGATTTGTAAAAAACATCAAAGAAAAACTATTTCAAAATATTTGTTTATTGATATGTGCTTATTAATCTGTAGCATGTTGGTGACAACTGAATCTACCGATGCAACCAGTGCAGATAAATATCAGTCAGCACATAGTTGCCATCTGATCATGGTCTTCACTTGTTTGCTTTTCATTCAGCACACTGTTGGAATTTTTTTCTGAAAATAATGAATGGTTTTGTCCAGTTTCAAAAGTTTCAAAAATGGACAAGTGTTTTTAAAATATTAAGGGGGGTTAGGTTTTGTTTTAAAGGGAAGTGATTTTATTACTTAATAAGATTTTTTTGAAGCAGAGGAAGTTACTTACTGGTTCTGACTAAACAATATTAAATTAAGCATAATATCTGATTTTTTCAGATTTATTGATAAAAAGGTGATACTTTTTAAGTGTGAATTTGTCGTAATTATGCTAAATATTTCTTATTAATATTGTATTCATATATATTTACAGATATCATTATCTAAAGATAAGTGAAGTTTAAATATATTATATATTCAACAAATCAAGCTGTATACTTCAATGCAGTGAAAATTAAAAACTAATAACTGAAATTTTATATATTTTTTTGTATAACTATAAAATGACCTATCATGTCTGAATTCTTATTTCATATATTTTTGCAGACGCAGCAATTTTTCCGTGACCTTGAGAACATTGGAAATTTAGCAGACGCATGGGCTAACTACTCTTCTGACCTATTTGACTTTCTCAATAATAGTCGAACAGTAGAAGCTCTTAGAGTTAGTATATTGTAAAATTATGTTTTTATATACTGCAAAATCAAGTGGAATTTTAATTTTTCTGTACAATGTAACCCTATTATGGAGAAATATGTCTGCATTTTGTATATTTTCAGCCTTGAATAATTGTATTTCTGTTGACTGATAAGTTTATTTTCTATACTAATCTGCATTGCGATATATTAAATACAACTCTGGAATAGACCCTCTGTGTTATGGCTTGATTTAATACTACTAAAAGTTGTAAAAAAAAAATGTTACAAGCAATACAACTTACAAATACAGTTCTAGATAATACTGTAATAATATAATTTGTAAACATATTGTGGAATGTGCTTTAGTTAATACAAATTTATTTTAGTTTGATTGTGTTTGAAGCTTTAAGCTTATTGAAACACTTTTGAATCTGTTCCTGGAACCAACTAGTACTAAGCAATGAATGTGAAGTTTCTTGCTCAAGGGAACAACTGACTGGGTCAGAACCCATGCAGCCAGCAATCCTTAGATTACTAGTCTGACACGTTAACCACTCAGCCATGCCGCCGAATGAACTTTGACCTGCAATGGTTAAATAGTGAAGGAAATAAATGGGGTAACCCAAAATGGGGCCTGAAAAAAATTAACATACCAAAACAATACTGAAACATATTTGCCACAAATTAAATGTATTGTACAATGAATATTTTTATTTGTTACAGCTAGTTGTTGATAGCAGTCTTTGCTCATTGGGTTCTACATATGCCGAGTCCATATTGAGTCCAAATAGTACATTCAACACATCCAGTGTGTGTTCTTTCCTTAAACGTTACCTTAGCAACGGAGCTAACACCTCACAGTATGACTGGAGGGATTCACTGAGATATACTGATGAACTGTTTAGTACAATCGGTGAATATATTAAGGTAAGTTTTCTCCCATTGAAAATGGACCTTTCCGGTTTTTCGTAGCGGAACATTTAGCCACACCTTTTCCATTCATTGCTAGGTCAACTGCTCACAAACAGTATCACAAACAAAACCATGTGTTCTTTTGTGCAAACCAGGTCAACCAGTGACTATGTACTATCTCAGTGTAGCAATTGGATAACAAGTTAGCCAATTTACATAAATCTGTAAACACTGGAAAGGTCCATATGTAGACATATCAGTTTTGTTTTAAATGTTACTTTTTAAATTAAGTCTGCAGGTCTGAATTCTGTTTAGGACATTGTTTAGTTATGTTAGGAAGTTGTGTTATGAAAAGTTGGCATTAATATGCTGTCTTCTTCAGAATGTAATAATTCACAGATATATAAAATGCTTGAAGTCATGTCCAGATACAAAAGCAAGAAAGTAATAACATCATCTTAACCTGTTGCTTTTGCCTAATATACTTACTCAGCTTTAAATTTGGAAAAGTCGATTTAAAGCTATGGGAATTAGAGTGTCCAGATATAAAACTTACGCTACCAACTGCTAAGAGTCTGGTCAGACTGCATGGATGTGCAAGCTGGACTGGCTTTCTACTGGGGGCAAAGGCTAGATGGTTTTGACTTCAGACGACTATGGATTAAAAATGATGATGCTGTTAAAAAACCAACAACCAAATGTTTTATGATAGCATATTATAAGTACTTTAAATATATTGTGTTACAGTGTTTCAACTTTGACAAGTTTGTCGGCTATACAAACAGGCAACAAATGATGGATGATGGGATAGCAATGATCGACAACGATTTGTTTTGGGCGGCCATTGAATTTCCGGGGATGGACGAGTCAACAACTGTGATGCCTAAAAATTTACAATATAAGATACGAATGGATGTTGACAAGGTTGATAGCACTAAACGGGTTCGAGACAGGTTAGATTTTTATCTGTTTATTTGCTGGGTTTGATTTTTTTTTGGATTTCTTTTTTGCTGGGTTAGAATATTTTTCGATTTTTTTTGCTGGATTATCAATATTGATTGTAGCTTGATTGTGACTAAGCTCAGAGATTATTCGAACATTTCTCTGAATGAACCAGTACTGGTGTATTATGAGGAAACATGATTATGACTTCAGTAAGACTTGAACCCTGTGATCTCAGGATTGAGGGGAGGACGCTTCAACCACTAGGCCATCTCGCCCTAATTTTTGCAGGTTTTCCTTAGAAATGTATACATTGATATTTGCCTATTCTCATTGTATGATAGAATCATGCGGGAAATTTATATTTGGTCAAGTCATTCATTTGGTTAAATGGCAGGTTTCGTTTATGCTTGAATAAATGTTCAGAACTAATCTCTTACAACCCAAGTAAAGCTGGAAGTTGCCCTTTAAGCTGAGAAATGTTATTGTGACATAAAAGATGCCTTTTTCTTGGGCATTTTCCTTTAAAAAAATATGTTGATGAAAGTTATATATTTGTTTCAAAGGTAAAAAGGAATTGATTTTGTCATTACTTTAAATATCTTTATTTGAGTTTTTAACCTTCAAAAACTTTCTTATTTTGAAATACAGCTTGACAAAAGATCCTATGCAATATGTTGAAGTGAAGCAATAGTTTGTATTGTTGCATTAAAGGAATTAATTTAACATTTCTTTTCACTAACATGTTTGTTTGTATAAACTACGGTTTTCAGATATCCGAGACCTGGACCGAGGCGTCAGCCATGGCACCTTAAATATTTCATGTATGGATTCGCATATATACAGGATATGTTAGAGCATGCAGTTATTAAAATTCAGACCGGAATAACGGTAACATCGGATGTCGGAATTATTGCGCAGCAGTTCCCGTACCCATGTTATACTGAAGATAAGTGAGTAATCGGCTGCGTGTATCATTTCTCGACACAGTAGACTCTCCCCATATAACTATCATATCTTTATCATCCGAACTTGGTTTTTTTACGACTCACCCAGTCATATTATCATTTAGGTACCCTCGACCAGGTCCGAGAAGTAGGCCATGGCCAGATTTAAAATATTTCCTCTATGGTTTTGCGTATATTCAAGATATGATAGAACATGCAATGATTCGTGTACAAACAAAGGGAGGTAATCTACCTGTTGGAATAGTAGCTCAACAGTTCCCATATCCATGCTGGCTCGAAGATAAGTGAGTTGCTTAATTGGTTTGGCATTGATTTATCACTGTTTTAGATCTTCACTTTAAATGTAATACATTAACTTAATAAGTTGCATGAAAGGGCTAAATTTGCAATTCTGGTATTTTGATATTTTAATTTAATAAAAGGGGAAGTATATATAACTATTAATTTAAAAACAATGTAATAATGATATAGGAGGTTTTAGGTGTTTTTGAAGGAATATAACAATAAATTTTGAGAAATTGAAATTGTTTATTTAGGATAATCTGGGAAGGTTTTTTTTTCCACATTAGTTTGTACAGCAGGAGTACCAAAACTTTTAAAAAAAAACTAATTTGCTTTTATTTTTTCTAAAGTTAATGACAAATGAATTGAACATTTGAGATGTGGTCTCCATGGATGAGTAACTGTGTTTACAGTCTTCATCTTACTTGCTCCTTTCAGCTATTAGTTCGAATCCTGTCAGGGACTATGGATTCATGATTCTTTCATTTGAGGAAGCTAGCTTACAGAACATCGGTGGTTCTACTCAGGTGCCTGTTTAAGTCTGAAATAATGCAGGAAAGGCACCTGAGGTTTTCCTCAGCTAGTTAAGCTGGGAAGTTGTCATATGACCCGATTGGTGTTGGTGTGACTCATTTTCAAACATAACAAACCAACTTTTAAGGAACTTGTTGCGGTTTTGTTGAGGTTTTTAGGGCCAAGCCAACATTTTTTACTAACATTTACATCATGCCACTAACATTGTTATCTTATATATTATACTCAATTTGCACGCTTTCATTTTTACCGTTTCATATACTAACTCTTTCATATTTAAAGGGTTATTAAGCTATATTTAATGAAATATTTTTATAAAACTTAAAAACGGTAAGATTATGTTGTTTCCATGATTATTATGGCCAGTTCTTGAAAACTTGTAACATAGAATGTTTCTACTTTTTAACATACATAAAATCTTTTTGTAAACAGTGTAGAATGATTTGGAACAAAATTTTATGCTGCTTTTTTAAGCAAGGTTTTAACCATTTATCAACGATTTCATGCATGTGCCAATCAAAAGGAAATATACCCAACATATTTGTTTCATAAAGACATTCGGAACTTTTTATTTTTCAAAATTCAAACGAAAATTGTGTTAACTGCAGGCATTAGAGATATATCTTTATATAATTTAAATCTATAAAAATGACAATGGACTAGCAATTTAATTTTTGAAATGTCTGTTTAATGGATTTCAATTTTAAGAGACAATTTGTTTTCTGAAAAACAACATCAAGTGTGATCAGGCTGGCTACGCTTTCTGCAAGTGGCATAGGCTAGTTACTCTTGCTGCCAGATTGTAAAAAGTGAAATACAATTTATTAAAAAAAAATTTAATTTACATTTCTGATACATGCATAACTTAAGTTGTTTTTAATTTAAGAATACCGACTGACATTGAATCACATGACCTTTACAGGCAGTGATTTCAAATCCTACATCATTTTTTCAACTGTTAATTAACAAAGGTTTATAGAAAGTTAGTAATTCTACAAAGGTGACTTGAATGATGAAAATTAAGGAAAGGAATCCTTGTACATTACTATCCATGTGCAATTGGTTGAAATACATTATAGAAATTGAAACCTACAACATAAGCTATAAACATTTAGTTTTAAATTTTTTGTATTTCAGATTTATTTACGCAATCTCGAGGATGTTGCCGCTATTCATGATCTTGGCGTGGATTTTAACGACAGCCATGTTGTGTAAGAGCATTGTATATGAGAAGGACAGACGCCTGAAGGAAGTTATGAAGATTATGGGGCTTGGAAATGGTGTGCATTGGATGGCTTGGTTTATTAACGCATTTGTGATGATGTTTGCGACGATTCTTATACTCGTGATAATGCTAAAGGTAAAGTGACGGCTTTTTGTGCTGTGATACAGAATAACCATTTTACATAACCACCCCAAACAGAAATCGAAAATTCCACTTGTCCGCTCGTAATTACGTGTAGAATTTTAGAGAACTTAATGAAGGACAAGATTAAAAATGTTGCCTTTACATTGGATTTAGAAGCTACTCGTCCTGCAGGCGAGAGAAAAATTTCCCATGCTTGCTTAATTAAGTATTAATCACTTTAACAGACAGGTCTCAATTATTAGCAACATTACATATTGAAGGACCAGGTTATGAAATTTATTGAAGGGGTAACATGGCTTTTTGAGATGTGGCATTCTTTTTGTACAATATTTCATGTTGTTCGTATTTTTACATTTAAAAAAAAAAAAAAAATATTTATAGTTTCCAACTTATTTTTTCAAGGTCCATCTTTGATTGAACATTTTATATGAAAGTTTCTCTAAAGGATTTATAATGAATAAAAATGATCCTTTCCCTTGTACAAAAAATTAAATTCAGAATTGAAAGCTTTGTATCTGAAACAGGTTAGAAATGCCAAGTCATTCCAAATGTAGCTTCACTAATATACTACCTTATTTACTTGATTCCATGAAAATTTAAAAAAATGTCAGTATGGAAGCAAATATTTAAAAGAAAATTTCACTTATAATCTTATGTTTATATCATTACAGGTAGGAAAGGTGCTCGAGCACTCGGACGCGTCTGCAGTGTTATTCTTCATGACAATATTTGCAATTGTCACGATAATAAAATGTTTCCTAATCAGCGTGTTTTTCTCGCGCCCGAACTTGGCCGCCTGCTGTGCTGGATTTATATACTTCCTTGGTTATCTGCCTTACATGTTGATGCTTCAATTTGACGAGGTCCTCACTAGAAGTACCAAGATGGCCGTGGTAAGATTTTTATTTTTGTCTTAAGATAAGGTACTAAAACATAAATAATTTTAGTTGATTGTGATCTTAGAATTGTTACTTTCAAACCTAATGCAACTCATGGCCCCTCCATTGCTTAAAAAGAATGCTATTTCACTCTAGTTATCAAAGTATTGGAGTTTTGTTTTTACAACTTGAATAAATTAGTTTGTAATTGTAGTCTTATGCTTGGATATTTAAATGCATTACTTAAAATTTACTTCAAATTTGCTAACAGTGTTATCTAGAAACATTCAACAAAAAACTGTGGCACTTTTTGGCAATTTTTTTTTTATTTATGCATTAATTTGTAAACCAGGGCCACCACTATCCATAGTATTTTACTTGTTTTCCAGGGCCTCTCGTCCAATGTAGCCTTTGGGTATGGGTGTAACTTTATTGCATTGTGGGAGGAGCAAGCTATTGGCCTGCAGTGGAGTAACATGGCTATTAGTCCCGTGAATGATGATGATTTTAACATGCTACACTGTATTGCCATGATGCTGATTGATGCAGTACTTTATGCCCTCTTCACATGGTACATTGAGGCAGTTTTCCCAGGTAAGTGACACTGATCTGTTCGCCTTAATACTTGGTACATTGTGGCAAGTTTTCCTTGTAAGCATATATGATCTATGTGAATGCCTGCAACATTCTGTCATATAGAATGAAATGCCACATTAAGCATTTATTGACCAGTATGTTAGAATGGAATGGTCAAATGTTGGTACAATGGTTTTTTCGGGTTAGAAGTTAATGTGTCAAGGTCACTGGGATGATTTTCGTCATACCTTGGCATAATTTTAAGCTGTATCAAAGCATTATTTACTCAAGGGTATGTGATAAGTGTGTTTTATATTATGAATTCATTTCACCTATAGATTTTTATTTCCAAAAGATTTAGTTTTAATACAAGTCAGATAAATATAAATATATTTGCCTGATTTTACTTCAAACTTCTGTACTTTTGATAATTTTTCATACTTTTACACATGTATGTCTTATATTGTTCACTTTATTTATATCTTGCAGGTCAATATGGTATACCAAAGCCGTTTTATTTCCCTTTCACCAAATCCTACTGGTGTGGTAGTAGTGATAACTTTGACAGGGCAGACAGATCTGCTAATATGGAACTAAATGGTCAAGGTAAAACTATTGTTAGTTTTTCTTATTGAGTGAAATTATAATTCTATAATGATTTCCATACTTTTGTATGTTTACCCGTAATCTGCTCAACTTCAAACACTCATTTTAAAAAAAAATTCTTTATCAGTATTTGGATATATCAAAATGAAAATTGGAGGTTTTTAGAGTAAAAGTGTATTTGTAGCTATGGCTCATTACTGTTTGTTCCAGCAGGGTAATTGATTTATAGCTAAAATATGAAAATCTTACACCGATTATTATTAGTATGCTTGTATAAGTTCCTTTTTCACTAAAAACATGTCATTAAACAGTGTTTTGTTCAATGCTTAATGTTATTTTCAAATGTTCATATATAGATGCTGACAAAATGGAGGCGGAACCAAAGGGTAAAAGAGTGGGCGTGGCTATTCGTAATCTGAAGAAGAAATATTCGTCAGCCAATCGTATGGCAGTTGACGGTCTGAGTCTAAACTTTTACGAGGATCAGATAACATCATTCCTCGGACATAATGGTGCTGGTAAAACAACAACAATGTGAGTTCATATCTTAAATTTGGATTTTTTAAGCTTGCCTATTCAAAGAATAGAATAGAGTTTTTGTACTCACCCAGCCATTGGTGTCTGTGTCACACTTTGGTTTAATTGCCTGCAATATGACATTTCCAGAACTACTAAAGGAAATGAGTTTTAAACTTCAGTCAAGCACACTGCCCTACCAACAACTCTTATACTTTAAACTTTCGTCTTTATATTTGCTTATAATTGATAATTTGCATTTCTAATTACTTGATAAGTTGCTTATTTGTTACGATAGAATTTAGTCTTCTGAAGACTCATTCCTTTTAAGAATATTACATTATTATCTTCATTATTATCATACCTTGTGTTTCAGGTCAATTTTGACAGGATTGTTCCCACCAACTGAGGGTACGGCATTTATTCACGGTCATGATATTCGCTCAGAGATGGATCAAATTAGACACAGTCTAGGAATGTGTCCGCAACATAATGTGCTGTTTGACTGGTAAGTAGTAGTTCTTTTTTCATGTTGGTTAAGGTCACTGATGTCCAATCACTTGCCCCTTACTGCCGTTGGTTCAAGACCTTACACTCTGTCTGTCGACTGAATACTTTTCACATGAGGATGCTATCCAGCTGGTTAAAGAACAGAAGTGTATTCGGAGATTTTGTCTCTCTTATGAGATAGGTGGTAGGGCCTATGGTATGTAGAAAATAATTGTGTCACGAAGGGGATAATTTAGAAATCGATGAAACATCATTTTATGTTTTCAAACTGCAATGTCCCTTTCTGTCCCACTCTTATTGTACAATGGATCTAAAAAAATATATATATAAGGGGCGAGTTTTGCCACCAGATTTGACAACATAAAAGCACTGAACATAAACTACACAGCTACAGCCATACTGTCTAACTTTTATAATAAGATAAAGGGTGTCAGGGTTAACAAAATTTTCTAACCAATTTTTGGCTAAAACTGACTAAACCCATTTAAACAAATAACCATGACACGCCTAAATAAGACTTTATATTAATCTTCAGTATTCAATATTTACAATTATAGCAAACTTGAAATTTTAAAATTTGGTCCTATACATGTAATTGTATAGAATAAGAAGTTTTTGTTACAATCATTATGTTTGATATTTAGGTTGACAGTTGAAGAGCACCTGTGGTTTTATGCTCGGTTAAAGGGCTCTTCATCAAAGGACGTTCAAGCGGAGATGGAGCAGATGATAAAAGATGTCGGATTGCCGCACAAACGTAAAGAACACTCGAGCAATCTGTCCGGTAGGTTTTCATAATTCCTGTCAAAGTTATTTAGTTTGTTTTATCAGACAAATGTAAATTATACCAGTTATTACACTATAAAGTGGTCATCGTAATTCCAGTAGTTTACTTTTGGAAGATAAAGGGACTGATTCTTTACAATTCATTATGTATGCATTTTGTTAACAGTTTAATGTATATTTTGTCTGCTAAAATAGCTAAGAAATATTGTTAGATGTCCTAGATTTGACCATTTCCTTGAGTCTACACCATATTTGTTAATGTTCCAAAGTCAAACAACATGTTTTTTATGTAGGAATAAAATAGGATTTTTTTAAACATCATAGTTAATTTTATGTAATGGCAAAATTTTTTTATAACCAATGTCAGAATAAAGAGAAATATACTAGTAATGTATTAAACATACACTTTCAAAATACTTGAGGTATCTAATCAAGGTTACCCGAGGGTAAAAGTAATTTATTATAAAGTGATCTTGTTATATTAAAGGTGGTATGAAGAGAAAGCTGTCTGTTGCCATAGCATTTGTAGGAAACTCAAAGACTGTGATCTTAGACGAGCCAACTGCGGGCGTGGATCCATATGCTAGGAGAGCTATATGGCAGCTTCTGTTGAAGCTTAAGAAAGGTACTTAAAGTAACTTTATGCCCATTTTATTATTGTCCGGTTGAGCTGAATTGACTTTATATTTCAAAAGATTGACTTACTATGGTGATTGACCAAGGGTTGATAATGAAAGTTGTGTAAGATAAAGTATAAATCTACCTAAAATATAAAAAGACACTCCACTCTTTTAATAAGTTGAACATTGGGGATATATCCAATGTAATCAGCAGAAATTTCCTTGGACTAAGTGAGAAATTTTATCATTCATGCAAAGTTAAGGAATAATGGCAAAATGTTAACTTATTTTGACTTTCACATGTTCACTCCTTATAACACTTAGCTTTAAAGGTTTAATTGTCTGAATTATAAAGGCTATACTGACATACCTATGCAAACAAAAAATATAGAGCTAGTCTGCTTTTCTGTTCAGTGCCATTTGATATTTTAGGTCGTACAATTATTCTGTCTACACATCACATGGATGAAGCAGACGTACTGGGTGACCGTATTGCGATCATCTCTCAAGGTCGTCTGTGTTGTATAGGGTCAAGTCTGTTTTTGAAGAATCACTATGGTAACGGATACTACCTTACGTTAGTACGCAGTGATAATGACATTGATGAGGACCTCATTTTGAAGGAACAGTTGATGATGAATCAAGATCGACCACTTTCTGCTGGTAGTGTACGGACGGTTACTAGTGTATTGGTGAGTTTGTTATCTGCTGCTCTCTGTGAAAAAATTAAAAACTACATTGAAAAATTCTTTTTTCGGCAGCATTTACAGAAATTAGAGTGTTGTTCCTTTCATTCTTTCGGCCAAATGAATCATGTCAGAAATACAGATATGTAGTTCTAGAAATTTCTTTCAGATATAGTTGTATTTGTGGATAAAACTCATATCTGATTAGAGACACTCAGTAAAGAAAGATCAGAAATTGATTTCCTTTGAAAGTTATCTGTTTATTTGATATGGCCAAGTGATTGAGACTGCAGACTTAACTGATTTTGCTCAGTCACATCTCTTTAGTCATAGGAGTTGAATTTTATATTAAAAACAGTTGATAATTTTTGTAAATAATAAGAATTATTTACGACTGTCAATAATTACATTTATTTTTCAAGAAAATACTGTTATTTGTCGTCAAAGCTCTCAATTAATCTGTATGTTTATAGCATTCGGAACAATTTGGTATGGTTGTCGGTTATTTGGATTTGTTCGGCATTTGTCGTAGGTATTGCCTGGTTCCCAGCATTCATTTAATATAGTTGGGCTAATTTCAGTAAGTCGGGTATAAGTCAGACAGGCTTAACTGTATAAAAGCTCGAGAAAATTGTGCATCTGTGTCTTTTCGCCGAACAGCTAGCTTACAGCCAGTTTTACAAGTACATTAGATTAGTTTTCACTTCCCGCCCACCCAACATACCTGTGAGCAAAGAACAAGAAAATTCATTGGATACAGCATAACATTTCCATGAATCAACCTATGTGTGCAGAAATTGTAAATGAACATTATCAATATGACATTTAAAGGTGCTTTTTAAAGACAATGTCAGTGTCGTAAATCTTGTTCTTTCTATCTTTTTAAAATACTTGAAAGTTGTAATCAGTTTTTTAATATAAATGTTATACAGGCTTTTCACGTTAATAATGTTGTTTAAATATCTTGGTATCTTACATTATTCATATTACATCAATTTTAGTATTACGTCTTTGAACACTCATTTTAAGTTAGTCAATTACGGTGGAAAAATTCTGTTAGAGTTTATCAGGCGAACCAAAAACTTCATTGCATTTTGTGTCATAAAGTTTTTGTCTGCTGGTTGTACTTTCTCCGATATCGGTGGTGGGGTCATGACCTCATTCCCGTCGGTTAAGGGGCAAATACCAGTAGTTTTCATAACCTGTCATTCATAGTTTTAGCTTTGATCATATATCAAGCCGGGAGTACAGTGCGCTTGCCAAGAAGTCCTTAAATCTCTTGTCAAGTTGTGTTTCTAGGTTTTGCCCAAATGACACGTAGTCTAGCAATCCTAGCTTGCCTTGTTACTGCTTGATTTGGTTTTCCCCTGAGACTAGCTTGCTTTAATCGTTTTGCTGAATATACTATTCGCACAGTGTTTGCTATCTGGTTTGCCAGTTATTTGCATACATTGAGTAGATTCTCGCTTTAACTCTCAGCTGATAGAATATTTACGTCATCTGACAGTTGCTTTACAGCATTCCCTGTTATTTAAGTGGCCATATTTCTCCAATCTTATTAAATATCTGGGAACATTTTGATGTTAAGTTTGATTGAATAAAAGTGTAAACTATATCCTCGAGTGACCAGTTTCGACGCCCTTAAGGATTGTTTTGTATGCGTCTATAAAAACGATGTGATTGTATTGTATAAGATGTTTTAACTTTTTAAAAAATCTCTAACCTTTATGAAATTGGTAAATATAAGCCGTTTTCCAGCTATTCCTTTTCATAAACAATCCTACTTTCACTTCACCCAGGAGCGGCCATTTTTATTGAGAGTGCCCTAAAACGACGCTATTGATTGGCTAATTTATTTACACACGATAGGAGACTGTACACCATAATTCTTTTACTTACGTTGTTCACCAATATCAAGAGCATAGACCTGCAAAGTATCAACAAGTGAAAACTAGTTTATCTTTTCTTTATTTCTTTCATAAATAAAGCATAATTATATGTGATAAATGCTATTGTTGTATTTTTACAGTGGTTTGGACGGTTTCCCTAGTCTGTTTGACCTCCTCTGCTGAAAAAATATAGGTTGGAAAATAGCACCTTTACTTTCTTTGTCGAACCTGCAAAAACAAAATAATACATTTAGTGGAGCAACTAATGAAAATATGGCAATTCATTCCATCCAAATAAGATAAACATATCCAATTAATTTTCAATTAACATTCATTTAGCAATTAATATCCGTAAAAAAATCTACAACACGTACAGGTTGCTTTAGGGTGAAAAAATGCGCCAAAAACAACACTATTGGGTAATTTTACTGCCACTTGACCCGAGAATAAGGAAATGAGGTCAGCAGACACGGAGGTATTTTCCAGCCGATTTTTGCAAGGAAAACATGACATAGTAAAGTGAGGGTCAAAATTGCATTAGTGAAATCATATAAAAATCTCTTTAATAAGGTATAACATGCTAAATCTTACCTTTGGGCGTCTTATTTACTACATATTGTTACCTAACCAACTAGAGGATTCCCCTTTTGCTATAGCGTAGTACAGTGATGACGTAAGCGGCCGCTTATATCAATTATGATGCAAAATATAAATGGCGTCGAAATAGGGCAGCGTAAAAACGGGTCACTCGACGATACTATTTGTTATTCATTTTTCGTATGATATAATAATAGAAATTTTGAAAGTGTATTTTATATTTGCAAATTTATGTCCGATTATCTGAATTTTAGCCGAGTTTAACAAACGATAATGATGATGAAGGTTATGCTGACGGGAAATCGGACAGTGATCCGCCCACGCCACCTAGTGATGACACAACATATCCCGGTAAATACCGTCGTAATTGACACGGTCTGAAATTATCATTGATATTAGGAAAATATTTACATTTACTGCCAAGAAAAAGTGGAAAATTGCAGCAAATGTGACCTATGGATTAGTAAAAAACATTCATGCATCATAGCATTGTGAAATTGACACGAAATATCCTAGAATGTTTGAGAAACATTGTAAATGTTTTGGAAGTTTTTGGTTAAATAATCAAAAATGTTTGAAATGATTCTAATATCCTAAAATCTATAATAGCACAAATTTCATGGAAATGTTGCCTTTGAATATTTTGAAAATCATACAAAATACAAAAATATACATATATTGATAAAAATAATTTTACACTTGACTTATAGAATGATTTTCTTTATCACTCGGAGAACATAACCATTATTTCTCTGAATATTTCAAGCAGGATTCTCTGTCAAGAAAGTGACGTCATTCATCAAGAAGTATGTACCGGAGGCGAGACTGGTGGAAGACAACATGACTGAACTGTGTTATCAGATGCCAACCGAGGCTGCTCACAGGGGCGACTTTGAAAAATTGTTCCAGCAGCTAGAATACACCCACACTGACCTCGGCATTTCAAGTTTCGGCATCTCGGATACCAGCCTTGAGGAGGTATAGTTGAATGTATTAACTTGTGAAATCTGCATGTTGTATGATTGGCTTGACTAAGTCGTCAAGAACTGCTTATGATATATAGTGACTTTCTTGCGTATCAGACAGGATTTTCTATTGTTTATATAAACTAATATAGAAAAATTATTTCAAGTTCCATCAAGTAAAAAAACTCATTGGAGTCCCTTTAACATGATTTATTAATACAATATTATTTAACTACCTTAGTAATAATACAATTATATAATCAGATTTAATCTTTTCTTTGTCGCAGGTTTTCCTGAAAGTTGCAGAAGAAAACACTGTGGATGTTGAAGAAGAACTAAAAAGAAACAAATTGGATGAAATGGCTGATGGTAAACTAATCCATTGATTTCACTCAAAATATAAGTACTATGTCATAGAAAAAGGAACACGGTTGTATCCAAATGGCATTGTTGGTTTATATTTATGAGCTTAATCCATTTAACTTAAAATTGGTTGGTTGCTGAGTGGTAATTGCTGCTCTTCAAATACTTTTGGTGTAAATTGCACTAGAGAGGTCGAATTTTTCATGTGAAGATGCAATCCAGTTAGCTTACGTTTACTATACTCTGTGTCTATTTCTACCTGAAATAATGCCTTAAATATGTACCAGAGATATTCCTCAGTCATTTGTTTTTTTTACTTCATTACTGTTGATATTCAAACAAAATTTCAGAAAAAATCATTTAAACTGATGTTTGTACTATTTAATTAAGGTGGTAGAATACCAAGGGGCGTGTCCAGATTGAGTTTTAAACGTAAGAAGAAGTTATCACTGTTGGGGAGACGATCTACAAACAGAGTTGACAGTAAGACAGATCTGATGGCAGACGAAGATACAGGTAAGGCTTGATCCAGTTGTTAAATTGTTGCTGTCATATACAGGCCTTAAAGCAGCACGCTCCCAGATTCATGTTAATTTTCATGAAAATTTTGGAAATGTATTTAAAAAGTAAAATATTGTGAGGTAAACAAATAAAATAATTTACATATTGCAATCAGCACTTACAATCCAAGAAAAGTACAAAAAAGTCTTCAACATATGCAAAAATAGCCTTTACTGTGTTAGTAACGCAGTAGAAAATATGGTAAGTAAAATACTTCAAAATTAGTCATAAACTGCACATGACATGAAAAATATAAATTGGATCTTGAATGTTTTTACCTTTCTTAAAATTTTAGAACATTTTGCTCAATATTGATTTTTTTGAAATATTTTGGCTGATCTGGAGGCTTGCAGCTTTAAAAAGTACTGTCATGTACACATTGGCCTTAAAAATCCCTTGTATATAGACATTGGCCTCAGAAAGTAGATTCATATAGACATTGGCCTTAAAAAGTACTGTCATATTCACATTGGCCTTAAAAATCCCTTGTATATAGACATTGGCCTTAGAAAGTAGATTCATATAGACATTGGCCTTAAAAAGTAGTCTCATTTAAAAAGCCCTTGTATATAGTTGGCTTAAAATTTCATTTGATGGAGACATTGGCCTTTAAATCTAATTGCCCTCTACCAACATGAGCCATAGATGTAAGTTTATATAAACATTGGCCTAAAGTGTCTTTGGATACAGAAATTAATTTTAATGTATTTTTCGGATGTAGAAAGTAGCTTAAAATACTATTGGATGTAGACATTGGCCTTCAAATGCTTATGTTCTCTGATATCTGATTGATCAACTGTTAAAAGAATTGGTAAACACAAGTAAAGAAACTAAAAATCCAAGCTTTTGATTAACAAAATACAAGTTTTGAAATGATAAAAGGTCTTGTTATTTGAATTTTATGGTACTACTGTCAAACAACATAATTGACTTTACATGTGGTTTACTTTGGGCCAAATTTGTTGTGTTATATGAGTTGAGCACCTATTTTATTCATGAAACAAAGCCACCAGAGCTAAAATGTACATTTGAAAGAGACATTTAGTTTATAATCTTGATATGTACATGATCAAAGAAATTATCTTGGTCAAATTTGTAATCTTGAAAGAGAAATTTCTATCAATGAATATTTATGTCTTTATGTGTATAGAATAATTTCCAATATAGGAATAGTAGTTTAAGCCATTCAGACATACTCATTAGAAATGAAAATTATATTTTAAGCCATTCAGACAAATCATTTGAAGAAATATTAAGAAACCGTGAGCATAAATGTGATAAATTTCATGGAGAGAATTTTTATAATTTCTTAAATGTCAGTTCTGAGGCGGTTGATAGTAAGAGGTATTGAAGTATTTTTTTGTATACATGTACATTTGTATAAGCAAACCTGAACTGTATCTTGCTATCTTTTATCAAGCAATCTTATGTTCAAAAATCATTCAAGCATGAAGTCCCTGTATAATTTTTTTCAGCAGCATAACTTTGATAAGCATAGTGACTCGTCTTTTTTTTTCAACTGCATAAGCGCTGTTATTTTATTTTCTTTGCTCGAGAGACTTTGTATTTTTGTATTTTTTGTCTGAATATAGATTTTATTTTAAGTTTCATTTATTTTCCACTGTTTGCATGTTAGAACACTGGTTATATTATCTTGCAAGATTTGATATAAGAATAACTGAGGTTGTCTGAGGAAAAATAAAATCTGCCAATCACTGAGTGACTAAATTCTACCTTGTTAGGAAGCTGTCTAGCTGGTTTACAGAAGTTCAGTGGTTCTTACTGAGGTGCACACCTTTTTTTTCTGAAATAAGGCATGGAAGGGCACCTGAGGTTGTCCTCCACCTGTAAAGCTGGAGTTTTTCCCATATGACCTTTATTGTTTTAGTATAAAAACTATAACTGAAAATGAAACTTTAAAAAGGAAATAATAATAAAAAAAGGGAATAGGTAAAAAAGAAATGTAAAAAAGATGAATGAAAATGTATCTGAGTCATAACTATAGTTTTGATTTTTTTTAAAATTATAAAATTAACTGAGAAAATGCATGCATGACTTCTGTTTTACTACAAGTACATAGACAAACCAGTACACAGCTCTTTGCCAGTATTTATTTAATGTCTGTAAACTTTCGTTCTACAGTTACGTCTGAAACCTGCTTGTGTTTCAAATTTCACAGTTTTACAAACAGTTTTACAAACTGTTGCCACTATAGAAAAATCAGTAACCATTTTAACTAGTAACAAAAATCTGCATTTGATTTTAATCTATATATTTAGTGGTTTTGATTTCAGCTATGCTGATTTCCTTAGACAGACCCATCAGTCCTATGTTTTGATAGATTTAAGAATGATGAAAAAAAATTGATATTTTTCTTGTTAGTGATTGAAATTAATTGTTATAGTTATAGTGAAGAAATGTTTTTTTGGGAAAAAAATGTTACTATGTATTAAGAGGTCACAGGTCAAAATGGACATTTTTGTTTAAAATAGTAATTATTAGTATAGAAATAACATGTAAAAAGGGTGATTAAATAGACAGGGTTTTTTTTTGTTTCTGATGTTTTAAAAATAGATAAAAGACAAAAGATCTTTTTTTTTAATTAACAGAGAAAACTAAAGTATAAACTATACACATAAAACAATTACGTTTAGAAATGAAGAAAATCATTGTCTGAAAAGTATAAAAAATATTGTGAAAAATGTTTGGTTACAGATTCTGTGGTATCTGGCCCAATTAGCGACTACGGAGAGAATGGATTTAGCCACAACCTGCACCAGAAGGTCACAGGTTGGAAACTGACGATGCGCCAGTTTTTTGCCATATTTTTCAAGAGGTTTCACCATGTCCGCAGGAGCAAGAAAGGTTTTGTAACTGAGGTAATTATTTTACATTCAGCTTTTTATCTCATGCTGATCAAAAGTCAAAATACAATGTAGTTTGCATTCATTTTAGGACTGTCGAGTTCAGATCTTTATGTCCGAGTTCCTAACTCTGTATAATGTAAGCCCTAACATGTAACAGTGGCTTGTTTGAATCCTGCTAGGGATTTTGAATTCTTTCATATGGGAAAGCTACTGTGAATTCACTTAATGTTGTGGACATGAAATTTCGAGGTTTTGTCACGAAGAGCATTTCTTATGACCTTTACAGTGTGAGTGTGACTCAATCGAAAAAAAAAATATTAAAAAAATAGTAAGAATTCAACATGTTTATATGCTTATAAAAGTGTTTAGAGTTCTGTCATGAGTAACACCAATTTTGCAACCATCATAAGACTAAGATAATATGAATTAGATAATTATCTGTAAAAAGAATGAAATGAAGATTTAACACAAATTTATAAAAAATAATATATATCTGCTAGCATAATATTATTTTATTCAAAAAAATATCAATAAATCAGTATTGAATCTATACAAATATATAATATTCAATTTATCACATACCCAAAAATAAAGACAGTTAAAAGTGAAAAAAAAATCATTTTTCATTGACATGCCTATAGTGTAAAACAAACATTTAGCACATGATTACACTATTATATGTTTGTATAACGCTAATGAGGTCACATCAAAATATGCATGGCCATGCAATACCTATTTTACAGTCCCTAAAGCGGCATTAGTGTGTGATAAATGCAGTTAAATAATGTGCTGGTAATGTTTCATATTATATTTTAATGATGTTATTAACAAACTTTTTTCAGATTGTGCTACCGGTGGTATTTATTTTGCTGGCAATGACGTTTTCTCTAATTTCACCTCCGTTCTCCGAGGAGCCTCCGTTAGAGTTACATCCCTGGCACTACAAACCTGTTAGAGGAGACCCTCATCTCCACATGTTCTATAGGTGAGTATTACCATTGCTCCTTGTCAAAAAATATTTTATTTTCTCCCACAAATATTTTGGAAAATTCCCCTTCAGTATAAAAAAATTGATTAAAACTTAAACTGCATTTCCTTGAGTTTTTGAGACAAGTTTTTTTTTTGTTTTTTTTTACTAATTTTCATTTGAATTCAAAGATAGTGCCTTATTGCCTTTATTCTTGTTTCCCAAGGATAGTAATTGTGACAAAATTTGTCCTCCCAAAAGGTTACGACTACCAATCCCCTGTTGCTGGAAATAGTCTTGGAGATTACATTATACAAATGAGCCGCGTCACGACAAAACCAACATAATGGGTTTGCGACCAGCATGGATCCAGACTAGCCTGCACATCCACACAGTCTGATCAGGATCCATGCTGTTCGCTATCAGTTTATCTACTTGTGATAGAGTTGGTAAGCGAACAGCATGGATCCTGATCAGACTGTACATAGGCTGGTCTGGATCCATGCTGGTCGCAAACCCATTATGTTGGTTTTGTCATGACGTGGCTCAAATTACTGTAGAATCACTTACCTCTGTTGATTCCAACTATTCTGTAGAAGATTGGTGGTTCTTTTGGTTATACAGAATTTATTTAAGTTCAATTAGTAAGAAGCTTAAAGCTTATAGAGTAAGACAAACTCTTGAATCCGTTCCTGGAACCAACCAGTACTGAGCTATGAGTGTAAAGTTTCTTTTTCAAGGAAACAACACTGGTTGCCTCTGACAGGGTTTGAACCAACACGGAGAGCGATCCTTAGGTAACTGGTGCAATGTGTTAACCACTCGGCTATGCCACCGCTTTGGTGGCTCTTTATCATGTGCCTGCTCTTGTCTGTCATATGACTTAATACATGTAGTAATGTGACTATTTCAAACCCAACAGAAAACCTGCAATAACAATAGGACATTTAATCTTAACAACTAGCAATGCAAGATTAACCTTGTTCATGGTCGAGGGGTTAGAGTCGATGACTTCTTATCCAGTAACCTCTCTGGCGTGGGTTCGATCCCCGGGAGATGCTTTGGTAGTTCAGCGCGGAGGAAGGTAGTCTAGTACTGGTGTAACTCTCCAGGAACGATGGATAAGAAGCTACCGGCCTATGTGACTGAAATACTGTTGGAAAAAGGCGTAAAATGAAACAAACAAACAAATCATTTGTATGTCCAAACCTTTTGATTAGAGACAAACAATGTTATGGTAGTACTATTTTATGATATATTTATATTGATACTTTTAAGCTTATATTGTTTACGAAAAATATTGATATTTTTTGTTTTTTTATTTTTGATTTTTTTTTCAACTATTTACCTAAAATTCAATTTTTAAAATTTCATGTCATTTTTTTTCCTTTCCAAAAAATTTTTTAAAAACTAGTTTTTTTAAAAAAATTCAAATTGAAAGGTTTTTTGTTAATTTTTAAGAAAGTTTTTAAAATTTTTTTGGTAATTGGTTTTACCCATTAAAATTTTTTTTCAGGGGATTCTGTCATTTTTTTTCCTTTCCTAAAAAATAGGGTTTTTTTGAATAAAATATGGAAATTTAAAAAGGGGGGAAATTTTTGGGGGAGAAATTTTTTTGGGAAAAAACCAATTTTAAAAAAATTTGGGGAAAATTTAAAAAGTTTTTCCCCCACAATGTTAAAAAGGTTTTTAATTGGTGTTGGTAGCCCTTGGGAAAGCTCCCAAATTTTAACTCAACTTAACTTTTAAAGGAAATGAAGGATTTTTTCTTTTACAGGGAAATGAACAACCCCTTCTGGTAGGGGAAAAAGGAAGGATTTTTCCCCCTTGTTTTAAATTTTAATAAATTATATTTTTGTTTTTAATAAAATAATGAAATTTTTTGGGTTCTTAAAAGGTCTTTTTTGTTTCCTTGGATGAAAATTTGTTGGGGTTAAAAAGGAATTTTGGGGAAAAATTTTTAAACTTAAATTTGGGGGAAATTTTCACTTAATCATGTAAAAAATTTTTATAACCAAATTTTTAAAAAAGGAGATTTTTTTAAATTGGGGTTGAAAAAATTTAAATTAATTTAGAAAAGGGGAAAGATCACCAAGTTTTAAAATTTTCCCCCTTTTTTTTTACTACTCTAGGAAAAATTTTTTAAACCAATTTAAAACCTTAATTTTTTGAAAAGGGAGGAACCAACCCAAGGGGGGTTGGAAAAAAAATTTTCCCTAAAATTTTAGAAAAGGGGTTTTTCACTTAAACATGTGGAAATTTTTTAATAATTTTTAAAAAAGGGAAAATTTTCTTAAATTGGGAAAACAAAAAATTTTAAAAAAGAAAATTTTTCCAAAAAATTTTAAACGAATTTTTGGAATTTTTTTTTTTTTATTTTAATTGGGGGAAACATTAAAAAAATTATTTCTAAAAATAAAGTTTACAGAAAAAGGGGGTTTTGGGGGGAAACCGTGTTTTAATAAATTTTCTTTTTTTAAAAATTTTTTAAAAAAAAAAAAAAATTAAAGAAAAAAATTTTTAAAAATTTTCTTTTGGGTTTTTTTTCAAAAAAAATTTTCCCTAAATTTAAGTTAAGTTTTTAATTTTTTTCTTTTTAAAATTGTTTTCAAAAATACTTGAAATTTTCCAAAAAAAATTTTCATTGGGGGAAAGGGTTTTTTCAATAAATTACCTAATTTGGAAAAATTTTTTTTAAATTATCCATTGAGTAATTTTCCCAAATTTAAAAATTTTTTTAAAAATAATTTTTTTAAAATTAAATTTTCAAATTTGGAATTTTTATTAAAAAACAAAAAAAGGGTTGTTTTAAAAAAATTTATTCTAATTTAGAAAGGCAATAAATTTTAAAAATAAGGTTTTAATAAAAAATTTTTAGTAAGTTTTTTTAAATTTATAAGAAAAGGGAAAAAAAGGAAAAAACCCCCTTTTTTAATAAAGAAAAAAATTAAAATTTTAATTTGTTTTTTTTAATTTTTCCCAAAAAAATTTTTAAATTTCAAGAATGGATGGGAAAATTTTTTTAAAATTTTTTGTTAAAAAATTCGGGTTTTTTCCAAAAAACAGTCCCTTGTAAATCAACACCTAAGTATAGGGTTTATTCGGCAGACGGGGTAATCCGATATCAATTATGATTAAAAATAGGATGATTTTGTTCTGGAATAGGTTAGTTACGGGGAAAAAGTCTAAAAGTTTTTCTCAAAAAATTTTTTCCAAAAAATTGGGTTAAAAACCAAAAAAGGGTTTTTAAAAGGGGCTAAAAACATAAAAAAAACTATAAAAAAATCTAGTGGTAGAGCAGATGTGTGGTTACTTAAACCTCCCCTAAATCCCTTGCCCCAAATCCAAATCTTGGGGGGAAAGGGAATTCAAAAATTTTATAATTTAAAAATTTGAAAATTTTCCCGTATAAAAGGAAAATTTTTTAAAATTTAAAAATTAAAAATTTTTAAAAAGGGGGGTTACAGGAAAAATTAAAAAAACATTTACTTTTTTGGGGAAAGACAAAAAAACCTAATTTTTGCGTTTTGCGAAAAAAAATTTTTTGGAAATTTTTGGTTTTAAAAAATTTAATTTCCAATTGCAAAAAAGTGGAAAAAAAAAATTGCGAAAAAAATTTTTATATTTTATTGTTTTTGAACCCAGCTTAAAATTGTTTTTCTAAACCAGGAATTTGCGCGAGAAGAACAATTTGCATGAGGCATTCATTCACACACAAAAAAAACAAAACAACCCTGTTGTAGTAAAAAAATTACTACAGGGTGCAATAAGGCATTGTGTACTGCCCAGTATTTATGTTATATAAGGTGCCAATATTTCCTCACTTGAACCACCATTTCTTTCTTTAAAACATTAAAAATATATATTTTTTTATTTCTGTTTAATAATAACTAAATGACTATCAATACTGCATTATCTTTACAGGACTTTACAACCGGAACATATATATTGTAAAATATTATTTTTATGTATTTTATTAATACCTGGGTGGATTAAGATATTTGAATTGAATTGAACTGAATAAATATTCTATTGAGTAAGTTCAATATATATATATATATATATAAAAGCTTATCAGTATAGTGCTAGTGTGTTTTCCATACCATCAGAAAATGCTTGCGGTCTGAACATGATTGCTGCCTAAGCTTAATTATGTTGGCTGCTTAACTTAAGTGTTTCAAAAATGAAATTAAGAAATAATATATCCAAAACTGTGATTTTATCACTCAATAAAATCACTGTTAGGAGTTTGGATGCGTGGATTATATAACGAGAGCGCAGCACTAGTGATAAAATGATGCGCATCTGAATGACAAACAGTGATTTTATCAAGGGGGAAAAAAACACCAATTTTGGATATATTATTTCTATTCTAAGACAACATTTACAAATAAATGCTGCCATACCTGATATTAGGCTAAATTGCTCCTGATTTGTTAGCATGCAGAACTCTGGTTGCCATGGCAACCGAAAGAAAAAACTTAAAAAATCTTCTTTTAAAGAACTCAAAGAGCTAGAGCTAAGATATTTAGCATGAAACATGTTCTAATGGGTGTCTACCAAGTTTGTTCAAATAAAAGCCGTGGGGTCAAAATTGGCCCGCCCTGGGGTCATTGATTTTTCATATAATTATGTGTATAGCAAAAACTTAAAAAATTTTCTTTGAAAAAACTCCAAATAGCTAGAGTTTAGATATTAAGCATGAAACATCTTCTAGTGTGTCTAAAAAGTTTGTTCAAAATTGGCCCCGCCACGGGGGGTCATTGATTTTCCTTATGTGTATAGTAAAAACTTAAAAAAGCTTCTTTCAAAAAACCCAATGAGCTAGAGCTTAGATGTTTAGCATGAAACATCTTCTTATTGGTGTCTACCAAGTTTGCTCAAATAAAAGCCCTTGGGTTAAAATTGGCCCTGCCGGGGGGAGGGTGTAAAAGGGCAGGGGGTTTTATTGTTTTTTATTTATGTGTTGTTTAAAAATTTTTTAAAAACCCAAATAACAATTTCATGAAAAATTTTTCTTTTGGGTGTCCTTCCCAAATTTTTTCAAATTAAAAAACCCTGGGGTTTTAAATTTGGCCCCCGTTTGGGGGGGGCCTATATACAGGTGAGGGGACCCCAAAGGCCCCTCATGGCCCTCTTGTTGGGTAACGGGCATAAAGTATATAATGATTTTTGGTTTTCATGTTTTAAAAAAAGAACGTCAAAAGTGAAATTTTTTTGCATAATAACACACCCCTTTCGGGGTTTTTTTCTAAAGTTTTAAAGGGAAAAAAAAGCGGGTTGTGTTAAAATAATTCATAATTTTCCTTTTATTATATAGTTTTACATTTTAAGACAAATGAAAGAAAAATGCGGGTCCTGTTAGAACATTTTATAAACCTTTGAAAGTATTGTTCAAAGATCAATGCAGGAATGTAGAATTCTTAAATTAAATTAAAATAATTTGTATTATATTGTGCTTTGAAATATGTTTTATATGCTACATTGAGGAAGTCTTCCTTGCTTATGACACCAGTAAAGAGCCAGGCCAGCCTGCGATATTATTGCTGTCTAGTCAAAACCTTTTCAGTTTATATTTTTGGAATTTTGATATTCAAACCCTTTGAAACATAATACTCAGTTTCAAGTTTATAGCAGGACTTGTTAAAAACAAATCAAATTTAGCAAACACTTGAGATTGGGCTTTATTTATAAATTTTCTGGCCCAAAATATGAAAATGGAAAAAAAATATTTGCATGTATATATCTAAATTAACCTGAAAGTGTTATGAGAATCTTCTTTGGAGAGCGGTGTTTAAATTTTATTATTTCGATTGTTTCAGTGGATATTCTTGTAAACCAGTTAGGCAACAGTCATTCCGCCGTCAAAAAGTTTGGAATAAGACTATAAACTGTGATTGTAGCAGTGGGTGGCAGGTGTGTCCGGACAACGCTGCCGGTCCAACCCCACCCAAGATGCTCCTCTCAACAACCGACTATCTGTATAACCTCACTGGAAGACAAATTAGCGATTATCTGCTGAAAACTCAGAAAGAGTTCAAAAGAAGAAGGTAAATTTATAGTATTTTTGAGCATTCTGTAAACTGAAAACCATTTAGTATTGATGTATGTAATTCAGCATTGAGCTTTCTCTCAATCTGCCTTTGTAATCAACCTTTCCAACAATCAAGGCTCCACCATCGAACTCCACCCACCATCAAACTCCACCCACCATCAAACTCCACCCACCATCAAACTCACCCACCATCAAACTCCACCCACCTTCGAACTCCCATCAAACTCCACCCACCATCAAACTCCACCCACCATCAAACTCCACTCACCATCAAACTTCACCCATCATCAAATTCCACCATCAAACTTCACCAATCAAGGCTCCACCATCAAGGCTGAGAAATTGATGTATGACTGTGACACTCATTTTAAACTGGAAAAAATGAATGAAAAAAAGTAAAATAAAAAAAAAAGCTGGTTAAAAAATCATATTGAAAAGAAATACATGTAGATTAAATTCTCATAGCTTTATGTTAAGGCATTCCTGTTTGGCAAGCTGCCAAATAAAAAAAGAAGTCTTCATACATGTATCTCTGACTTATAACTTCAATTGGTACTTAGCTAAAATGGAATTAATAAAATTCCATTAGAGAAATTTTGCTTGTTAATGAATATGCACTGATAAGGAAAAATGTTTGCGGACATAATTGTTTCTCTTTTAGATATGGCGGGCTATCATTTGGTGAACGAGACTATGCATCATTCACTGCTAACATTACACAGGTACAAGGGTACCTAGAGAGAATATTAACAGCTGCTAACAATGGTACCACTGTATCACTAGGTGACAGAGAATTCTGGTATGATCTGACAGAGGTGCTCCCATCACTGGCAGTGAAAGACGTGGCAAAGGTTAGTATTTTTAGTCTGACTGTTTAAAGAATAGGGAGAGTTGTTTTACTCACCCAGGCAAGGCATCACATTTTGGTTAAGATTTTAAGTGCAAGTTGGAATCTTCATAAATGCTTAAGGGAATGCGTTGAAACTTCACACACTTACTGAAGAATTACTGAAGAGCACAATGAAGGTCACTGTCCAAGGCCCACAACATTTAACAGATTTTGATGGAATTATGGTCCATTTTGAACTCCGAAAACATTTGACATTAACTGGCTTTTGTTTTACTATTAAGCATTGAGAATAAGCATGGTGTATTACTGACAGCTTGTGTTTGTTTTAGTTTGATTGTGACAAAAGTTTTAAACTTACTTAAACCAATCTTGAACCTGCTTCAATTAAATAACCAGTATTGGTGTCTTATGAAGAAACATGGTATTGACTACAGTAGGGTTAGTATGCAGGATACCTAGGTTGAAAGGCAGACAAGTAATCATGTTTGCTTACTGTAAGCCAGAATACACCTAGTAAGCTGTCTTCAGATTGCATCAGTCCACCCTGTTTAGCTCAATAGGGATAGCATAGGATTTGTAATCAAGGTCGCTGATCTGTTCCTCTGATCCGCTGATTTATATGAAACTAGTAGTTTGTCACTTGTGGAGAAATTGGCAATTTCTTATAAGTTATTCAGGAAAATGGTTTAGGCAGATCAATTGCCAAGATATGACCAAAAATATTGCAAGATTGGTAGCAAAAAGCAGACAAACAAAGAACATCTTTTGGCAAGAGTCGTTTGAAGTAAATAATCATAGTCATTTGCTGAATGGACGTTATTATTTGGGTAAGTTTAACAATTTAAGAGAGCTTAATGAATATTAAATTTGTAATTTAATCTTCACTATTTTAAGGTATGGTTCAACAATCGTGGCTGGGCTGCATCTGTATCCTATATAAACGTGATGAATAACCTGATATTGAGGAGTAACTTACCAAAGGGGACAAACCCAGCTGACTACAGTATAGTGGCATATAACCATCCCATGGAGATGACCAAAGAACAGCTTAATGATGAAGCCTTGTAAGTGTTAATACTTTTTTATGTGTAAATCATTAACGATATAGTGTGTTCATATTTTGGTTAAAGTGTATAAAGCTATATCTTTGATGTGTTATGATTGCAAAAGTTTTGTTTATATCATGAACAGAATAAATGCAAAGTTCCTAGAAAAGAAAGAAAATTACTTACATATATTTATTTACATTGAGAGAAACTTGCCCCAAAAAATCAATAAACCAAGTGAAAATAGTAGGGGAATATTTTGTTCTGCAACATTTTATTCAAATTTACGTACAATAATCATGAGTAATACAGTCCGACCCTGGTTATTCGACAACCCTTTATTCGAATACCCGGCATTATCTCAAGTAGATCGGCGGTCCCGTTTTTATCTCTATATAAATCAATATAAATATGAGCGTATTATTCGAAATGCATTATCCGAATACCTCCTATTTTAATTATTATTCGAAGTCGGGCTAATTGGCGCAGATCCACTCGCTGACTGGTCGACTTGTGAAAAACATCAATAGTCATGCATGTATTTAGACAATCGTGATAATAGCTCTTTTTGTGTTCTTTAATCAACTTTAATTACCGAAAATGAAAAGCAATGCACCGTGTCCGATTTTGTTACTGTTATTGCTTGAAGATGACAGCAATATTTTTCATACATACCGTATAATTATGTAAATTTGTCAAAACATCCAAAACGCTACATAAGAGCCTTTTTCCTAATCGAAAATACCAGAGTTTAGCTGTTAATACGGTAGTGACAACACGGCCATTATCAAGGTTTGCGCGAAACGAAACGATTCATAATGTAGAATAAAATGCAAGTATTTATGTCTTCAATGTCAATAATTTTTACGCATCTTTTCTTTAATAGTTATTTTTCTCAATTGATTACAGGAGGTAAATGTGTTGTAAACGGTAGTTTTGCTACGATTCGTCAAAGTTGAGTAGTTTTCGTCTATCACAATATTCGGATTTCGATTATTCAAACCCATCGATTATTCGAAGTAAATATTCAGTCCCAGGCACTTCGAATAAACGGGGTTGGACTGTAATAAACACAGTCATTCTATGTTACAACTTTTTCGAAAAATTACATACGGTTTATTAACACAAAGTAATTTTGCTGTTTTTGAATATTTACAATTTTTTTCATCAGATATAGCTTTTTACACTTTATGTTCTTTTATTGTCAAAATTTATAAAAATCTAGGAAATTCTTTGTGAGTACCATGTCTTATTTGAATAAGAGAATGCACAAACTATGTTCTCTTTTATTTTACATTAAAAAAAGAGACCGGATAGCAATTATCAACATTTTTAAGGAATCAATTTTGAACATAATATATCTTTAAAATAATTCAACAAAGAAATAGATGTGTGTATATATGTTTTGAACATACATATAGCAAAACGTCCTACAGTTATTATTCATTTACATGATGGAAATACTTTTGTTTGTTCAATTTTAATAATGTTATACATTCAAGTCCATCAGTATTTCTTGATTCCAGTGATTAGTATCAACCGTTAATTAAGTTACAGCAAAATGCTATGTATTTACTTTTAAAGGGACTCCACTGATGCATTTTTGAAATGTCTAGACTGGAGTTTAGTGTTCCCTTTTATGTATGTCAACAACTTGTGTGCAAAATTTCAGGTCTTTACTTCACTCAATTTCTCAATAATGAATATTTTAACTGTGAAAAATTGTAAAAAAAAACAAAAACATAAAACATGGCAACAATTTTCACCCAAATCGGGAAAGAATAGCACAATTATACGATTTTCAATTTATTTCTGAGTATATTTCTTAATTATCTTTTGCTTATCCTTCTGTTTTAAGTGCCCCAGTTGATCTATGTACGAAATTCAAATTTTATATTTTTAGGCTTTTGGACCTCAGTGAAATTCCTTTAAAATTGTGTAAAAGAAATTCTCTATAATGCTAGGAGATGATATGCTCTTATCTTCATTTTTATTATTTACCAATAGGTATAACAGTTTCAAAGATGTTGTGATAGCGATCTGTGTGATATTTGCAATGTCATTTATTCCGGCCAGTTTCACCATGTACCTTATTGAAGAACGTGTGTCCAACTCTAAACATCTACAGTTTGTTAGCGGGGTGAATCCAATTATTTACTGGGTGTCAAACTTCTGCTGGGATATGGTGTGTATTTTATTTTATTTTCTTCTGTTTTTTGAAGTTGGAAGTTGTAAATCAATCATAACCTCTAGAGTTTTTTTTATTTTATTCAGTCTGTTAATGAGATCATTAAATCTGTTCTTGAGGTTATTATGTTTATTTTTAAGGTCACTTAAGATGTTTTCTGAGGTTTTTTATGCTTTTTAATGTCATTAAGACCACTTCTGAAGTAATTAAGTCTATTTATAACATCATTAAGCCTGTTTTTGAGCTCAGTTTAAGTCTATTCTAAGGTCATTTAGCAATAAATTAATGTCAATAAATCTGTTTGTGGGAACAATTAATTTATTTTTAGGTCATTTAGTTTACATGTATGTATGAGGTCATTAAATATAGCAATTTAAAGTTCTATATGTTAATAGTATGATATTTGTTTATCAATCCTTATAAAAAATGCAAGTGCTCATATAATATGTACTACCTATTTCGAACTTTATATTTGATATTTGTATTTTCAGATAAACTACCTGTTACCAACATTGTTGTGTATATTTATATTCCTGGCATTCAACAGACAAGCATATGTGTCGGCAACTAATGCTCCATGTCTAGTTGCCCTGCTCTGCCTATATGGGTAAGTATTGGTGGAAATAAAACTATTTTTTATTGACCTCAATTACATGCCTAAAAATGTCCAGCTTCCAGTTTTTCAAATTTCCATCACCTGGCTCTATACTGGTGGCAAATGTTGTTTGCTTTCAGTTTTAGCATTATTAAACCTTTAATTTTGTCTAATTGACATTTCTGATGTCATCGTAATACAGCTGTTACTGTTCTTTATCGCTTTTGAAAAGGGAATTTATTAAATGGTCAAATGCTTGAAAGTGTTAACTTGCTTAATATTATCCATGAATATTAAGGATTAATGCACTCGCCTTTCAATTTTTGTTGTGCTTTTGATATTATTTGTGTTTGAGGAATGTTGGGTTTGTTGTTCTAAACTCTGATCTCTATAGAGGTAGCTATAGATATACACAATGCAATAATGCTTTCATATTAAAAACATTGAGTGAGCTATCCAGCTAGCTTACAGAATTTCAGTGATTCTACTTGGGTACATATTTGTGGCTGAAATAATGAAATAATGCATGGAAGGATACCTGAGGTCTTCCTACACCAGTAAAGCTGGAAAGTCGCCACATGATCTTCACTGTGTTGGTGCGACATAATACCCATCAAAAAAAACAAAAAAACATTTTTATAACATGAGAAGTGTACAGACCTAACATCTAATTATTTATCAGTCCTATGTTTGTATTACAGATGGTCAATGATTCCCCTCATGTACCCATTCTCGAGAGTGTTCAGTGTTCCTAGTACATCACTTGTTACACTGAAGTCGGTCAATATATTCCTGGGAACAGTATCTACTCTGGCGACCTTCATCATAGAATTCCTTGAAGAAGATGACGAGGTAAGCACTATACATAATTCAACTTTAATGGGACTCCACTGATGTTTTTTTTTATGACGGGAATGGAAATAATTTTTCGAGATTCCAGTTTCATTTGATGTAGGTCTAGACCAATAACATGTGTGCAGAATTTTAGATCATTTGTCCTTTTTGCTTTTCCAGAATGATCAAAATGGTTCAAAATTGAAAAATTGTTCGAAAATACATTTTTCAGTTTATTCTGAGAATATACTTAAGTATCTTTTGCATATCTTTCTGTTTTAAGTAGCCCAGTTGATCTTTGTAAGAAATTCAAATTTTGTGGGTTTAGGCTTTTGGACATCAGTGGAGTTCCTTTAAACTTTAACTTGTTGAATTTAACCTGCATTAAATTTGGAGCAGTCCATTTGAAAAATAAAGGATTTCAATTAAAAATTATAAATGTGACACCCCTAGGTTAAACACTTTCTTTGGTTTCAGCAGATTAAGGGTTTACATGGTCCTAGGAATCATTAACCAGGTTTTCCGAAGGAAAAAACTGGTTATTAGATTGAGGTATGTCGGCTGGCGGGCGGGCGGGCGGACGGGCGGGCGGGCGGGCGTAAACAATTTCTTCTGTGCGCAACTCCTCCTACATTTCTCAAGGGATTTTGACCAAACTTTCATAGAAGCCCTGGTTCATATTGTCGGGGTTTTGTGATTTGCATAATTTTTTACCCAAATTATGGCCCTTTGTTTTTTTTCCTCATATAGTAGCTCATCCTCCTACATTTCTCAATGGATTTTGACCAAACTTTCACAGAAGCTTTGTCATCAAGTGCCCTGGCGCATATTGTCGGGGTTTTGCGATTAGATAATATTTGACCTAGTTATGGCCCTTTGTTTTTTTTCCTTATATAAAATATATAGTGAACAATTTCTTCTGTGCGCAACTCCTCCTACATTTCTCAACGGATTTTGACCAAACTTTCTCAGAAGCTTTGTCATCAAGTGCCCTGTCACATATTGCCAGGGTTTTGCAATTGGTATATATTTGACCTAATTATGGCCCTTTGTTTTTTTTCCTTATATAGAATATATAGTGAACAATTTCTTCTGTGCTCAACTCCTCCTTCATTTCTCAACGGATTTTGACCAAACTTTCTTAGAAGCTTTGTTATCAAGTGCCTGGCACATATTGTCGGGGTTTTGTGATTGGATAATATTTGACCGAATTATGGCCCTTTGTATATTTTTTCCTTCTACAGAATATATAGAGAACAATTTCTTCTGTGCTCAACTCCTCCTACATTTCTCAACGGATTTTGACCAAACTTTCTTAGAAGCTTTGTTATCAAGTGCCTGGCACATATTGTCGGGGTTTTGTGATTGGATAATATTTGACCGAATTATGGCCCTTTGTATATTTTTTCCTTATACAGAATATATAGTGAACAATTTCTACAGTGCGCAACTTCTCCTACATTTCTCAATGGATTTTGACCAAACTTTCACAGAAGCTTTGTCATCAAGTGCCCTGGCGCTCACTACATTCCCATGTTTCTTCCAAGACATCATTCAAGTATTTTTTTAAAATTGTGAACATACTTTTCTTGATATCGCACAAAACACCACACGCCAATATTGTTGACAAAAGAAAATGACAAGAGACGCAAAAATGCAAAAATTAAGCAAAAATAAAGTACTGTTTACCTTTCTAAAATATTTGGGGAAAAAAGGCGAATAGACAACATAAAATTTCTCAATCATTTTTGTTTGAGGAATATTAAAAAAGCCATAATTCCTCCTAAAAGTTCAATTAAAAACAAATGCCCCTTCATGACAAAGCTTCTGTGAAATATTTTGCTGAAAACCTGGTTGCATAGCATTGCGATGTTCCTTGTTAATGCATTGTTTCTAGTGTTGAGGATTAAATACTATTTAATTAAGCCTTTACCACAGGGCATGAGAGATGTTGCACATTACATTATATCTTATGAACAGACTCAATAAATCTGAGTCTACCATTTGCAACTATTTGCTTTGTTTTCATTGATCTTAAAGCAGCATGCCTCAAGATTCATGTTAATTTTCATGAAAAATTTGATAATGTATTTGATAATGTATTTGAAAGTAAAATATTATGAGGTGAACAAATAAAGTTATTTACATATTGCAATCAGCACTAATAATCCATGCAAATAACCAAAAAGAAGTCAAAATATGCAAAAACAGCCCTTACTGCGTTAGTAACACAGTAGAAATATGGTGATAAAATGACTGTGTATGTTCACAAATTCATTTCTCTTCTCAGGGATTAAGAGACATCAACAAGATTTTGAAACAAGTGTTTTTACTTCTACCACAATACTGTCTGGGACGCGGCCTCTTTGATATGGCCAAGAATCAGCTGTTTGCTGATGTGTATGCGAGGTTTGGGGAGAATAAGTTGCAGAGCCCGTTTAAGTGGGATATTGTGGGACGGAACTTGTTCAGCATGTTTATGCTCGGAATCCTATTCTTTATCATCAATCTCTTGATAGAGTACAAGTTCTTTATCAAATCTAGGTATGTTGTTCTAGTATTTTTTATCCCCAGATCAACAGTCATGTTGCCATTTTGGTTTTGTTGACAGTGTTTGTCAATTTGTCTGCTGGCTTATCAGTGAGTGGACAACTTAACCTTTTAACTTAAACCATAACATCCTAATTCTATTACTGCAGAAAGTATGCTTACCATAACATCCTAATTCTATTGCTGCAGTAAGTATGCTTAAAACTACGTTTGAATAAGTGTTTCCAAGAGTACTGTATTAGCTAAAGTTTTCATTAGAAATAGCAAAAAAGCAGTTTCAGATCAAATGAATATAATGAAATGCTTTAAGTTATAACTAGAAATCTGATGCAATAGTATTAACTACATGTTTCAACGAAAGTTTTTTGTTACACAGAGTATTAAAGCCGTCTAAAGAGACCGTAGATGATGAAGATGAGGACGTTGCTAGGGAACGAAAACGTGTCATATCAGGAAATGCTAAAGATGACGTGCTGAGGCTGGAGGAATTATCAAAGGTTAGTAGTTATTATTATGAACTATGTATAGAACACCTTGTGTTATAATTGTGTGACAGGAAGTTATTATTTATCACACTACATTTCTAAATGGATCTTTTTGATGCATTTGATTTCATGCTATTGTATTCCAGGTCTTCAGTGCTAGAGGCAAGAAAGGCAGACTCACAGCTGTGGACAGGTTGTGTGTAGGGGTTCCGAAGGGGCAGTGTTTTGGTTTACTAGGAGTGAATGGGGCAGGCAAGACAACAACATTTAAGATGCTTACCGGGGATGAGAGATTGTCAAGGGGAAATGCGTACGTCAACAATCACAGGTGATGAAAAATTATCTAAACTTTCCAAGATAGAAAATTTTGATTAAAAATGCCATGTACATTTAATCATTTAATAGAAATTATGATTAAAAATGACATGGACTTTGGATTCTTTCATGTGAGGAACCTATCCAGCTAGTCTGTTGTTCTACTCAGGTGCCTGAAATAATGCACGGAAGGGCACCTGAGGTCTTCCTCCACCAGTAAAGCTGGAACATCGCCATATGACCTATACTGTGTCGGTGTGATGTAAAACCCAATCAAACAAGCAAACAAAACCATGTACATTTAATCATTTAATACTTAAAACAATTACATGTATAAATTTTGGAACAAAATGATAAATCTTAATGTGTTGTTTGAGGTAATCGAAGCTGGCCTGGGTCAGACATTATAAGGTCATTTTCCAAGCTCGTACTCAGATTTCTGGTTTTTGATTGGTCAGAAATGGGTCAATAATGTGCATTGACCAATGAAAATACTTGTACTGAGATTCTAGACAGATTCTAGAAAAAGTTTTATAACTTTGAGGTCAAGTCACATGACAAAATAAAGGAGAAGATTACAAAAAAAAAAGAAGTACTAGAAGTTGGCAAATTGTGAAAGTAACTGATAAATCAGGCAAGTGGTGACAAAATGAAAAAGTGTCCTATTGGTTAAAGTGTCTACCTGTCTATACAGGAAAAAGGATAAATAGATCAAAACTAACACAATTTATCAAAACATGTTTCGCTTTAATAAGCTTCATCAGTTGATAAATAATAAAAGGAAATGACATAAACGTACCAAACTGTCTATACAGGGCATGTAAATTTGAACCCTCCTTTAGATGTCATTATATAAGAAAAACAAATGCATTAATAAAGCTTAGTTTCAATATACAAGCTGTAAGGATACAAATGATAATATTTTGCCTTAAAATTGAATTTTTTTCTTCTCTTTTCTAGTATTCTAAATGAGATGGTTCAAGTACGACAGAATATTGGTTACTGCCCTCAATTTGATGCCCTTGACCCTCTACTGACTGGTGTGGAACATCTGAGGTTCTATGCTAGACTGAGAGGCATCCCAGAAGCTGATGTTAAAGAGGCAAGTATAACCTGTCCAGAGTTCCCAGTCATCTGATTGGTTGATTTAAAATAAGAAATAGCCAATCAGGTCCAGGAGATTTTTGACTGGTTTCTTTTCCTGTTTACAATAATTTAAATGTTTTTTTCTTTGCGTTACCTTTACTTTAATTCAGTTGTCCAATATCCAGCTAGCTTACGGAATGTCAGTGGTTCTACTCAGGTGCCCGTTCATGCCTGAAATAATGCACAGAAGGGCACCTGAGGTCTTCCTCCACCAGTAAAGCTGGAACGTGGCGATATGACCTACAGAGTGTCGATGTGAGGTAAAACCCAAAACAAACAAACAAAACCAATAACAGTGATGGATGATAAAATCTTGAAATACGACATTTGTAATATATCATAATGAATATTTTAGATATATAAGCTTGGAGGTCCATATTTTTTTAATATTTGTTATACCCTTTAAAGTTTAAATGCTGTCTATACAGGTTGCTGATTGGGCAATACGAAGACTAGGACTCCTACCTCATGCCAACAAGATCTCCACTAACTATTCTGGTGGCAACAAGAGAAAGCTATCCACTGCTATATCTCTGATTGGAAATCCATCTGTCATCTTTTTGGTAAGCTATCCACTACCATTTCCTGATAGTTTCATTTTAGACAGCTGTCCACTATTTTACTTTAATAGAAATGTGTGTAGTAATTCTCTTTGTTAGCTATTGGCTACCATTTTGTTTGGAAACTATTCTGTCATTTAATTTGTAAGCTATCCACATTCATAACTCTAGCACGTCCATTTCAAGTATTATCTCCCTTTTGAATTTTAAATATAGTTTGAAAAAAAAAGGAGTGTCTGTGGTCAAATGGTTAAGGTTATTGATTACAAACAACTTAGTTTACTGAAAGTCAGTGATTCTACTTATGTGGATTAAATTGCATGAAACGGCACCCGAGGTCTACCTCCACCAATAAAGCTGGAATGCCGCCATCATGCATTGTTGATGGGATGCAATACACAACCAAAAAAAAAAAAAAAAAAAAAATTAAAATATTTGATTTTGTTCCTTACTATTGAGTTGATAAATTTGAGAGTGCATTAATACTTTGGATATATATAACAGGATGAGCCGACTACTGGAATGGATCCTGGGGCAAGGAGATTCCTGTGGGATTGCATCACAAACATTGTAAAGGATGGTAGATCAGTTATACTGACTTCTCATAGGTAAATATCTATAATATCTTATACTATTATCTTTGATATCTTGTTATCTCTCATAGGTTATTATCTTAAATCTCATACATGTAGGTGACTACTTCAATAGTGACTACTTCAATACAAATGTGCAGTAAGCTTATTCTCACAGAAAAACTTCTATGCTGTTTTTTCATTGACTTCACAATTTGATATTTTAAACTTCCGGGTTAATAATTTGTTTGTATAATTTTGAATATAGTGATAAAATTTTACTACATCTTTTTATATTTGTTTTTATGATTTGTCTTTTTTTTTTAATTATGCATTCCTGATGATATGAAAATAATTCTATTTATAGCATGGAGGAATGTGAAGCATTATGTGGCCGTCTAGCTATAATGGTAAATGGTAAATTCAGGTGCTTGGGCAGTATTCAGCATCTTAAAAACAGGTAAATGATTTCTCTGTTCCATTTTGTAAAATTTAGTGGTGTAAGATTTTTTTGTGTTGAATAAATAAAAGCGAGCTAGGGTAGTTTAAAAATTACTTAAGACCTTTTGAAAAATGACGGAAAAGCATCAGTCATATGACAATTCAAAGACTTTTGTTTTAGGCTTGAGTTTTAGGAAAGTTTAAAGTTTACTGGAACTACACTTGATCTTGCTTTATGAAACAAACAAGTTTTGGTGTCATTTGAGTTAACATAGTTATTACAGAGCATAAAGATATGCTATGGTCATCTTTTATTTAAATATTTTCAATGCAGAAATTTATGGAAATCTATGAAATTCTTACTGAAAATGCTATTATAATACTTGAATGAAAGAATGTACAACCTTTGTGTGGGAAGCTGCATTCTCTACTACATGGGTCAAATAGAAATGTTTCTTTCTTACAAAAAATGTGCAAGTTTTCTTAATGACACTAGATACTCATATTGTGTCCAGTAATAGTGTGTGCAGTTTAAAACATATCTACTTCGTGTGAAGTTATTTTATGTCTTCAAAGAGACAGGGTAACAATTATCAATATTTTTAAATAACAGATTGGAGCATAGTATTGTATATCTTTAAATCCGTAATCATTATCCATCTTGACCACATTAATATAAGCCGCGCCATGACAAAACCAACATAATGCGTTTGCGACCAGCATGAATCCAGACCAGCCTGCGCATCCGCGCAGTCTGATCAAGATCCATGCTGTTCGCTGTCAGTTTCTCTACTTGTAATAGAGTTGGTAAGCGAACAGCATGGATCCTGAGCAGACTGCGCGGATGCACAGGCTGGTCTGGATCCATGCTGGTCGCAAACGCACTATGTTGGTTTTGTCATGACACGGCTCATATGAAGAAGCAAGGGTACTAGAAATGATATGTTATAATGAATTTATATCATTTAAAATAAATAACCAATTTATTTGCTTTCAAACAGATTTGGTGATGGTTACACAGTGATAATTCGTGTATCTGGAGATGTGCCCGACATGGATCCAGTCATGGATTTCTTCAGCTCGGAATTCCCGAAGTCTCTTCTTAAAGAGAAGCATCATAATATGTTACAGTATCAACTCGGATCTGATATCCATCTGTCGGAACTCTTCGGCCAGATCGAGGCAGTTCGTGACAGGCTTAATATTGAAGATTATTCAGTGTCGCAGACAACCTTAGATCAGGTAAGTTTCAATTGGTATATAGTATTCAACTGCTAGCCAGTGCAAAAGTAATTTTAATCTTACCTTTTGAAGGAAAAAATGAAGTTGTTGTTATGAAATTTGTAAATGTTTTGTTAGATGTCCATTTTTCAAAAATTTCAAAGATATTCATTTCTAACATAGAACAATTGTTCACTCTTGAAATAATAGCACAATTTTAAGATCAGACAACCCTGAAATTATTTTTTGTATAATTAGACCCTAGATTCGTATGTGTGATTTTCTGTTTTGACAGATATTTTTTTAAGATTTACGACAAACCTTTCTCTGAACTTTATACACAGGTCTATTTTTTTGTTTTATACATAAGGTTGAAACAGAAAAGCTGTGTAAATTAGACATAGTTAATGATATAATAATTAATTGATTTATTGACAGGTGTTTATCAACTTTGCCAAGTTACAGTCTGACTTGGCTGACGATGAGATAGATGATGTTCCTGATGACCTCAAGTTGTTAGGTGAGTCCATGATTTTGTGTAGATTTAACTCACTACAGTGTTAAAGCAGTACCTATAAACGCTCTCAGAAATAATGACAAAGTAGAAAAATACTGCTTTTTTCAGCGATTCTTACATTTTTCATTGTTATTGTATATAAATCAATGTGAAGAGATGGATAAGACATTTTAAAGTTCATTTTGTTGTGTGCAAAGGCGAGATTTTAGCAGTTAAGCATTCAAGGGCCTTGTCCGGTATGTACTGGAATATGGTATTTAGTGTTGGGGTCCAACATTTTTTTAGTCTCGCTCATGATTTTGTGTAGATTTAAAAAATCGAGCAGTGACCTTGACATAAACTAGGTTGTGTTATTTTTTCATGATAATTCTATCAGTTAGGCAGTGATATTTAATCATGAGAATGATTGTCCCATTTTAAATATTTAACTGTTTTTTAGTATAGGTGATTTTAATATTAAGATTGACTAATGAACAACTTTTGATATCAAGTATGGTCAAACTTTATGACCTTGCAGGCATAGGTGTGCTTTTTTTACACCTAGCACTCGGAGATAGTTTTGTGACTTGCCACATATGGGGTTTTGTTGATTGCCCTTTGTTAATTTTCTTGATGATATAGTTAGAATGCCAAGAATACACTTGAAATTCTAAAATGAATGTTCTAATTGCTGTAAGGAAGACACAACTAAATATGAATGTCTTAATTTGAAGGACTATACATATAATTTTGTTTATACTTTCATTAATAGGGACAGCTAGAACTTTACCGAGTGAATCTGAGGCACAAAGTTTAGCTGGAAGTACAGCGGGTCTGATCAGAAACGAGTATCGTTATAGCAACAACAGTTACCGGCCGGCTACCGGTGATGATGACAGTTTACACCTGACAAATATCCGGGAACCAGTCAGGTCTCGACCAATCAGATCACAGGATCACATTCAAAATGCTCCAATTATAAGTTTGCCTTATCAGGTTAGTGTACATGTGGGACTAGCATTTGCGTTTAAAATGTCTCAACCTTTTATGCATATTCTGTTAAATTGAAATATTTATGCTTCTCTTAATAATTTCAGAATACTTTTGCGATTGAATTGTTTAAATTAACTTCTGAACTCAGATATTGAAAATTGATTTTTCTACATAAGGATAATATACATGTATATGGCCAAGGTCATGATACATCAAATTACAATATTTTGCTGGGGAGATTATATTCCTGACTCAGTAGCGTCAGTTTTGCATTGAAACATCAAAAATTGAATATTTGTTAAATATGCTTAATTTGTATTAACCTTAAGTTTGTTTTACAAACTTAGTTATCTCAAAGTAAAAAAAAAAGAAAATTTTAAGCATTTAAAAGCACTTCTGCTTTTTGCCAGATAGAATGTTCTATTGGGTGTGTGGTGAAGGGGATGGGAAGATTTTCAACTTCTATGAAGTTTACCATTTCAATAGGCATTAAAAAGCTAGCATTTTTACTGGTTGAAATATTGAATAATACTTGTGTTGTTGTTGTTGTTTTACAGATGAAAGGTCAAGGAGATGAGTTTGACCTTGACACACGAAGTGAATTATCTGCAGCATCCTCGCAAAGACGTGGCCGTCCTATCGCCAAATTTGACGATGATAACCCTACAACAATTCCTAATCCAGAAGTGTAAAAACAGACAGAATTGAATTGAAAAAAAAGAAGAAAGAAACATTACTTGGAGTTTTCTGGGTTAGAATTCTGAAATATGCTTTAAAGCTATGTTAAGAGTACATAGTGTGTGTTGATGTGGCAACTGTATGCCGAAGTTGATTTGTAGAACTACATGTACTCATGTGGTGATTTGATATGTGTTATTTAAGAATTTCATGTTTTCATTTTTTGTTGTTAATTTTTTTTTCTTATTTTCAAGGGAATTAATACTGAAGTGATTCAGTAAATGTGGTATTGTAAGATAGATATGACATTTACCTTATTTAAGGAAGGAATCTCACTATATTATGTTTATATGGTTTGACTTTAATAGTATGGTTATATGATGAAACTCAAATTTTATATTCATATGATGAAATTGAAATATAATGGTTATATAGTTTGAAATATAACCTCAATGAAGTTTAGACAGTTTTTTAGGTTATAATACAGAGTAGGTGAAAAAAATGTTCTTTAAGTCATTTGTGAAGATGATATTGAACTACATGTATATATTAGGTGAATGCACAAGTAAAATGTTTGATTCAGTTGTTTTATATGAATCGAGTGTTTTGTAAGTAACATTGTTTTGAATGAAAGGATTTTTGTATGAAACAAGTGTTATATAGACTTTGACCTAATTTAAGAAACTTGTGATGAAATATTACTATGAAATTTGTTGTTGTTGTTTTTGTGATAGAACAGTGACAAATTTACATATCAAATGATCTTGTAAAAATTATTGTTATTTATGAGATTCAAATGTTATTGAACTGTGTGTTATTTTGTGATACATTTCATAATTTATGATGGTTTATTTTGCACAATTATGTGATGAAGCATCAGTCAGTTGTAAGTTGTACGCCCCACCCCGGGGGTAGTATTGAGATGGGGGTGATATTTTTAATTTGATGATTTTTGGGGGTAATAAATGTGGATTTGATTATTTAAAAGTCACTTTAAAAAGTCCCCACTTTGGGGGTCAGGTGGGGGTGGCAAGGTAACATTTGACTGGTGCACAATTTTTTTTACGCTAATATTAGAATGTTTTTTGAGAAATACGAACAATTTTTGCCTACCTTTGTAAATATTTGTTTGTTTTGGTAAGTAAAGATAAAATGAATATGTATTAGTAAAAGTACTAATGAAATATAAAATTATCTGTAACATTTTCAAATTAGAAAGTATAAAATATACAGTTTGTTTAACTTTGAAAGTTGATTACCATTAAAATTAAGTTAGTATTAGGAAATTGATTTACTTTATTATGTTTGTTGTTTTCTTTCAATCGCCTTTTTTTGTAGGTTTGATATCATGCATATGTTTGTTCCTTCGTTTTTCTTTTTTAATTGTTATTAAAAAATAAGTCTTTCTTGAGCTTATCCAAATGTTTTGCGATGTGACCAAACTACCTTCATTATTTCTTTGTCATAACATTTCTTATCTTAGTGCCATTTTTTGTGATATTGTGTGAATATATGTGAAATGGCACATATGTGCAATGCTTTAAGAATGGTTATATGACTTTAAACAAAAGAGATTTGCTCATTTTCTATTTTCTTATTGCACACTATGTATGGCCAAAGTTCTGTTTTACTTTTTCTACTTTACTAATTTCAGCATAATATTTATTGAAATTTAATCATGTTGTATAAAAAGATAGTTGGTTATTTCAACTTAGTTTTTGTTAAAGAATTGCCCTTCAGTAGGTCTTTCTATTATATTTGATGTTATGTCATAAGAATGGTTTCTTCTTATTCACCGATGAATTTGCAGTGATGTAATACTCAACATTTGTGTGACTGAAACATTGTGATGTCATACCTAACACATTCAGTGTGTGTGATGAGATCATTTGTGTCAGACACACATTATTTGATGTCATATTCTATTTGACACAATCACTTCACTACCATACCATAATCAAAAAAAGTGGTATTTAGTTTAGTGACATTACGTGCCGTGATTTAATTAATGCATTATAGTAGACTCATTTGAGTCTTCTACTTGTATATGAGGACATATAGGTAAGTATAGGGCCATTTACAGGGCATATATGGTAATTTCTGCAATGTTTCTTAATGACATCAATATTGTTCTTGGCTGTCAATTTTGAAATTTAATTAAATACTCAGAATTGTATATTTAGTGACTCACATAGTTATTAAAATATGAATGCTTACACCAACTTAAGTTACTTTTACATTAAGTAAATTGGAAATTACTTTGAGGAAATAATAAAAGTATGATTTATTTAGGTCAATGAAATTACTGTTACACTTATTTAGGTCAGTTTAAAATTCTTTTAAGTAATAGTAATACACAAATATTTGGGCCATTTTAAATTAGATTGTTATAGAAAAGTAAGGCAAAATTTATGTTTTTGTAATAATTTTTAAGTAATAGTGTAATATGCAAATTTAAGTCATTCGAAATTACTTATACGTAACAGTTAAACAAATATTTAGAACATATGTTGATACTTTAAAGTAATTGTAAAATACGAAATAGTTAGGTCAAATGAAATTACTTTTTTGTTAAATGAATATTTAGGACATTTGAAATAACCTTTAAGTAATAGTAATATATAAGTATTTAGATCAACTGATCTTGTTTTCACACTACTTACATACAATTCTTTGTTGAAGAGTGTTTGTATAAAGTTGTTATAATTTGTCATTTCTTCTATTTAAATATGAAATTGTTGACATTTTGTTATGATTTATATATTTTGTGTTTTTGTTATAATTGTCTTTTTTCTTATTAAATGGAATAGAAACTATATATATGTTTTGCTTTTTGTTTACAAAGAAGGAAAATTTGAAAGTTTTTTAAATTTCTATTTAAAAATACGAAACATATCTTAAGTTCATAACATAATAACTTCCTTAAGATTTATCCAAAATAATTGGATAAAAAGGTGCATAGAAAGAATGTGTTAGTGAGGTTAACAGAAGAAATAGATCTTAGTGAGAAATTGAAAATCAGGCCATACTGACAATGGCAAATTTCTAAGCTGTTCTAAAAGAGCTCATCCAGATGATAATCCTGATATGAGCCGCGTCACGACAAAACGAACATAGTGCGTTTGCGACCAACATGGATCCAGACCAGCCTGCGCATCCGTGCAGTCTGACAAGGATCCATGCTGTTCGCTTACAAACCCTTTTACAAGTAGAGAAACTGAAAGCGAACAGCATGGATCTTGATCAGACTGCGCGGATGCGCAGGCTGGTCTGGATCCATGCTGGTCGCAAACGCACTATGTTGGTTTTGCCGTGACACGGCTCATATTGATTTAAGGACTTGTTAGTTATGTAGGCTATAAGGATATTACACGGGCTACGAGAATATTCAGCTCGATGCGGTAAGGAGGCTCTTTCGAGTTTCCGCTAAACAGTATTCTATGCTTAGGAGGGTCCATCCGCCATTTCAGGCACTGAGAGTACGGATCCCGGACTTTTCACAATACAAGGTTTAAGGCTCTGTGTTGGTTCGGTGCTGATTCGAACGTAGCGCTTGTTTTCTTTCGTTATATTTTTGTTGCATCTCGGTTCTCCATATTTGCTTAAGTTAGCTGGTATTGTGTGAATATACTACTAGCAATTTCTCCGCCCAAGAGGCGACCTTGAGTTTTTTACATACCCTAGAAGAGCACCATTACATGGGACGTCGGTTTTTAATGTATCATTTGTTTAAACGCCGTCAGGGGTAAGCTGTTGTTTCCGTGAGCAAGAAACTATATACACAACTGGTTGGAGTGTTTCAATAAGCGTATTGCTTCCAACACAGTCAAAACAAGAGCCGGTTGAACCGGGTGATGCTCCCCGAATAGGTTTTGGACACAGGAAGGTATACCTCTTGTAGTGTAGAGTCACATGTATGTCAAAGACAAAGTTCAAAGTGTAAAAACAACACAAATATTGCGCGCGACACGTTGTCTCAATATGGTGATCATTTCTGTGAAAAAGTTGTTAAACCCGACTTCAAATAACAAAGTTATGGGCCGGACACGATTTTGCTGCAAGGTCATGCTGTGACCTTGACCTTCAAGGTAGCGACCCAATCGTTGCGGGCGACACGCCGTCTCAATATGGTGATCATTTCTGTGAAATAGTTGTAAAATCCGACTTCAAATAAATAAGTTATGGGCCGGACACGAATTCGGGACGTACGTACGTACGTAAGGACGGACGGACAACCCGACGACTATATGCTCCCCGAAATTTTTCGGGGAGCATAATAAAATAAATTATTATAAACTTAACATAGATCCACTCCTATAATACGAGGCACAATTTTGGACACCGTCAGATTGTCTGTGGCCAGTTTTTATAATATACTTAAAGTAAATTGTATGTTCAACCGCAGCAATAATTTTTGAAAGATTAGTGGTTTTTTAACAGTGTGTGTGTGTGTGGGGGGGGGGGGGGGGTTATTGGAGGAAAAACAAATACTTATAATATTATTATGAACTTTTTTTTTGCTGGATTAAACATATCGTTTTTGGTCGTTAATTGTAACTTTGAGCCTTTAATCTATTCTAATGAAAAGATTTTTTGTATAAGGACCACTCGATCTTTTGACGTTAATCGTTAATGCGTTTTAAACGGGATTAATCTTAAATCAAGTTGCGTGTAAGAAGGTGAAAACAATAACAAATTGAAAATTTATTTTGTTTCATAACTTCAATAAGAATTGTATTATTTAATGGTATTGCTCAAAAATTAAGATCTTGTTTTATGACATAGCTAGAAAGGCGGGGCATGATACATGTTATACTCTGAAAATCCCTTACATAAATGAAAATATTTAGACCTGATAGTTTTATTTTTATCCAGTGTCCCGTCCACCCAAAATATGTGCTTCGAAATTTCTCCATAGATTTTGTTTCGAATAATTATATGAAATGGTTACTTAATGGACTTGTTGCAAGCTCATGTAATTATAATAGAGAAAAAATAACTTTCTTATTACTTTACAAGATATTCGCCATTAAAAGTTCATCCAAATATGGCACTTGGTTCCAAAATTGATCCTTATTTTGACCCAGTTATTGTATTTTGTACTGTACTTTCTCAATTTATCCCTCAAAATACGTTTGCTTATTTGAATATCAGCAATTTTATATCTAATGTGGTCTTAAGTTTCATATAGCAAAGAAAGATCATTGGATCCTTATATTTTGTTCGTAACTTTGAGCTCTATTTTTAACATAATACCATCAAATGTATCATGTTTTATTTCTTTTGATATGAATGCATAGTCCCTGATAATTAATTAATAGATAGATTAATAAATAAATACGATTCGTATAATGATATAATATAATGCAATACTTTGTACTAAATATCAGTTACTTGTCATTTTATATAACACTGATTTAAATTTGTGTACATGTTATTTGGGGCTTTGTTTTGAACAGAAGAAACAAAAATAAGTACATAAATAAGTTGTTATATTATGTTCAAAACCTGTCATTTCAATTATATTTAAAGTCTTTATAATCATTTCAATAAATGAGCCGCGTCACGACAAAACCAACATAGTGGGTTTGCGACCAGCATGGATCCAGACCAGCCTGCGCATCCGCGCAGTCTGATCAGGATCCATGATGTTCGCTTACCAACTCTATTACAAGTAAAGAAACTGATAGCGAACAGCATGGATCCTGATCAGACTGCGCGGATGCGCAGGCTGGTCTGGATCCATGCTGGTCGCAAACGCATTACGTTGGTTTTGTCGTGACGCGGCTCAAATGTTATATCAATCACAATGTACATGAAGCACTATACATGTTGTCATGCAAAAAGTAAATAACATCGGATACTTACACAAGATTAAACGCTTATTGACCAGTTAGAACAAAAAAACTTGTCAGATTGAAGGATGAACTTAACTGACCCTATTGGCACCTCCCCGATTCCCTAAACCATAAAAGCAACCAATAAGATTGTGCACGTGTGCCACAACCTCTTTCTCTCCAGTATTTAAACCGATTGAAGGTCGAAAAACAAGCTTAACCACTTGAAATTTTGGAATCAACCTATAGCCCATGTAAAATGAATTGCATTGCCAATTATAAAGTGAAAAACAACTTTAATATCATTAAGTTATGAATACGGCTAATCAGGATAAGGCTAAAGCCGGTTCAAGTTTACAGAAATTATTCAGTTCACATGTGCTTGAAAATCAAACGTTACAACGCCAGAAGTCGGGTTTAGACCACGAGAGAAGAAAGAGGTTAAAGGAATTAAATAACAACGAACACTTGTTTTTACGTAAATACGAAAAATATGCAGTTCCTCGGAATAGAGGCAGACGCGGATCCATAGACGCTGAGCTAGCGCGTGCAATTGAAGTGAATTACAACGCGC